GGGTCCACTGTGATAGGAGGCTTGGTCCTCAGAGTGGCACTAATAGGAGAGGTGATGGGAGTTTTGGCAGGTGGGGCCGAGTGGGATGTCCTTGGGTCACTGAGGGCATGTGGCCCCTTGAGTTCTTTCACAAGGGTTGTTAAAGGGGGAGAACCTGGCCCCTCCATCTGCTCTGCTCCCAGTTCAAGATGTGACACTTGCTCCGACATGCACTCCCACCACTCCATGCAGCATTTGCCATGAGCCCCTCCCCAGGACTGACTTGATGCAGGTGCCATGTCCCTGAGGCCCCAGAACTGTGAGCTAAATAAGCCTCCTTTTTCTTCCCCTGGGTCAGGTGTTTCGTTACAGTGATGAAAAGCTCACACACACACACACACACACACACTCACACAACAGCTGAGAGAATGAGGCTTGACAAGGTCACAATAAACTCTTTAAAAAGTAAGGATCCAGCCGCTCAGGCAGGCCCCATCTCCTTGCCCCCTCTGGATCCTTTGGAAAACCAGAGATTGGATTAGATATTGCTCTTGCCCTCTACGCATCGTACATTCATGACTTGGAACAGAAATGTCTGGAACACGATACATAATGTTCAGTGCCAGGAAATAATGTGAAGAGAGTGAAACAAGACTGTGGCCAGAACTTGCCCGAGAAGGAAAACGTAGCAGGAAGTCTACTTCTCATTTTCCCTTCTTCAGGTCTCTGCCTGTCCCAGACCTTCCTGACTGAGAGACGTAGGGTGGGTCTGACTGTGCAGCAAGGTGACTACAGATCGTGTGAATCCACTGAATAGGTTTCTCTTGACAGAAACAAACTACAAGACAGGATTCTGCAGGCTTTCACCAGGAACAAATGTGAACTGCTTCTGGAGACAAATATTACACTGATGGGACATCGCACAATGAATACAGGAATCAAACCCTCACGTGGAACTTCTCTAAACATGTATGATTTGTACATGCCTGTTAAAAAATTTTAAGTCAATAAAAAAAAGATGTAGGAGTACTTCCTGGCTGCATTCACAGTTTTTGCAACTAGAGTTGTTTCAGCGTTTATTTTTGAAAAACGTCCACTAGAAACTAGGAGAGCTCTAGGTTTTGCTAGGTATAACACTTTTTGGGAGAGCCTCTTTAAGAAGAAGAATGCAAATTTACAAGTTGAAAATTAAGTATAGTTATTGCATGAGGCTGGACTGGTGAGGGGTCCCAAAACTAGGCTGGTGCTTAAAGTTGGCAATGAACTTGGCTTTCTTAAAGCAAGCAATTCATTCATTCATTTCCCGGCCCTGTGGCCTTAACTGTATTGAGTCTGGAGACAGATTTTACTGAGAGGATGTAAAGTTAACCGTGAAATATCAGGAATAAAGGAAAATATAATCTTCTAATCTTGGAATTTAAGAGTGCCTTAATGAGGTCCTGTCTTCTGACCTCTCCTGTGCCTTTTGCTTTCATTGTCTATCATTGCTAGGTGGCTAAGTGACTCTGTGATGTTTTAATTGCCTTCAATATGTTCGTTTCCTGTCCAAGAGCTACAGAAACAAGTTTAACTTTCAAAGGACAAACATTGAGCAATGGCTTCTATTTTTATTTAGTAATGAACAAAATTATAACTACTTAAAAATGAAGAGGTTCCTGTGATGAACATTTAGTCTTTTTTTTTTTTTTTTTTTTTGACAGGCAGAGACAGTGAGAGAGAGAGACAGAGAGAAAGGTCTTCCTTTTTCATTGGTTCGCCCTCTAAATGGCCGCTACGGCCACCGCACTGCTGATCCAAAGCCAGGAGCCAGGTGCTTCTTCCTGGTCTCCCATGCGGGTGCAGGGACCCAAGCACTTGGGCCATCCTCCACTGCTCCCTGGACTGGAAGAGGAGCAACCGGGACAGAACCGGCACCCCAACCAGGACTAGAACCTGGGGTGCCGGCGCCGCAGGCAGAGGATTAGCCAAGTGAGCCGCGGCTCCGGCTGACATTTAGTCTTATTTTCTATGGGATGTTGACTGTGTCAGGAAGAATAAATAAAAGGCAATGCTTACAATTTGAATGGCACCTCATTTATTAAAGATGCCAGATGAAAACCTTCCCTTCAAATATCTGAAGGGACTTGAGATCTGAATCACACCAAACACACAGCTTTCAGACGAGAAAGACCAGGCTCAGGGAGGGGAAGCGACTCAGAGACTGCCAAGACAGCACAGAGGGCACGGTGCTTTTCTGACCTCATGGTAGGACACATTTTGTTGTATTTTGTTGAACAGTTTTCCTGTATTTCCAGAAGCATTGCCTAGCTACACTTTCAGGTTCTTTATAATACCCAATATCACACTGCGAAATTTCTATCACCTAGAACAGATCTACTCAGTAGATACCTGAATCCCCGAGTGGTATCAACAGCGCCTGGCCCCTCGGTCTTCAATCCAGTGTCCTGTGCAACCATGAAGACCTGAATTAATTATCTTGAACTCTAGTTTTCAGTCAGTTTCTGGTCACGATGCCCCCTTCGTCTCCTTCCTGGACAGTTTCTTACATTTGCCCCTGTCTGCCATTTATGGCTTAGCCCTGCAGTACATGACTGGAATGGCCCCTGTCCCTTGCTTTCATTCTCTCTCTGGTCTGATAAGTTCTTCCTATGCATGAACTTTAGGTCCGGAGGAGTTTGCTCAGAGAGACAGAAGCAGACAAGAAGAGATCAAATGAGAGACCCCTGTCATATCGGGGGGGACATGCTCACAACGTGTCCCCTCACATATCAGCATAACAAAGGTACTAAGCAGTGCTGTTTTAAAGAAATATGCAGACTTATCTGCCCCTGGAAATCTTTACTGTAGAACAGTTATCAGCATTTCACAGGCAAATCCCAGTTTAGGAAACTCTGCCCTAGGTTCATCTTCATAAAATACTCATGCATCACGCTCCTTCCCCAATAGAAAAATGTTCCAAAGTTCATGAATGCTTCCGGATACAGGTCCAAATTCACCCAGCCGGCCCTCCACAGACCCCTTCTGCCTGATTGTACCACCCGGCTTCATCTGTCTCCTCCCCAAGAGCACGTGGCTTGCAATAGGGGATCCCCCAGCTTCCAAGCAGGTGGGATAATTGCAGGGGACGCTCAGGTCAGACCTCCCATTCGGCCAACTCTCAACAGCGTGCCCTTCTGGACTTCCAGGGAGCACACCTGGCACTGAACACATCACAGTTTTCTCTCCCCAGCTTAACTTCCAGAAGCAGAGAACTCCTTTTCTGTCTACCTGTCAGCGTCCAAGCATGCTTTGCTCAGTTCTTTGTGCTGGTGGCACTTGAACACACGTGGGCTGAATCATGGCACGAGTCAGGGAGGGAGGGACTGAGTCGGGGAGTGAGACTAGTTCCATGTCTTTTTAGATCAGTTGGCTTTGTAAGTTCCTGACCCCCAGCTGCCCGAATATACCAAGGATCAACACAGGAGCTGATCAGAAGAGATCATCTGACCTGCGTCCACCATGAATACCATATCCAGTGATGCGGAGAACATGAAGGAAGAGACATACACTTCACTATGGTTTCACCAAGGCTGGGGCTGAGTACATGAGTGTATGAGTCAGGGCCTTACCAACAGGCGAGTGAGAAACACATGTATATACAACACTAGGCTAAAACATCCTCTATCAATCACAAAAATACACAATTCCCAGGAATATATTTTCAACAGATACTCTGTTAGTATCAGCTAACTTTGATAAGTCTACTACCACATCAATTTTAATACAAGTTCAAATCTTAAATTCTCTTATTTCCCTAGGTTCTTATTTTATCTTCTAGCATGGGTAATTTTTCCTCCTCCATATAAAATAAAATTAAGCAGGCTCATAATGTACTCATTGATTTATGTATAAATGCATTAGTTATCTGTGTTTGCAAGTTTTCATTAGTTATCTTTATAGCCTGGAATGAATAAATATTGGCCACAGAAACCTCTCTCAAGTGGTTGATACTTTGTCTTATTGTTCTGTTATTTATCTATGGTCTAAAATAGCTTTATTTCTTAAATATGAGGGTTCTTCAAAAAGTTTGTAGAAAAAATACACTATGGGAAAACTATGCCTGGATTCAAAGTTTTTTGCACCAAAATAAACTTGTCTTTTAATTCCATTTTCCATGAACGTTTTGAAGAATCTTCAAACACACACACCTGCACTTGCTCATAGTACAAAGCAACTGACATCGCTACTTCATTATGAGATCACATTCGCAGGAACCCACGTCTGTATTAGGACAGTCCACAGTCAGAATGTCAGAAGCAGACTGCTGGCTCTTTCTTTAAATAATGCTCTGGATGCTGACAGTATGACCTGAAGGGCAATGCCAATGGCGGCCCATCCTTTTTCTGTCCCTGCATGGCCTCAAGACATTTGAGCTGCGGCTGGAAAAGGGAGCAGACGGGCTAACACTCAACTGGACTAGAATTTCTGGACTCCATCAATAACTAGCTAGGTGGCCCCGGGGAAGCTGCAGAGACCCACTGGGTCTGAATGTTCCTACTGGTAATTTGAGATGGTTGGACTGGATGTGGTAAAATTTTGTGACTGTGTTAACCAAATTTCTCATTGCACTAAAAGAGCCTCTGAAAGGCATTTGGTTAACTGAGAACTAAAATTAGATTGAACAATAACAGATTCCTAACTGCTAAGTTTCAGTCACATTCCCCGTGCTTACGCAGTGTCAGTCCCAGGTTTAATGTGGATCATGTTGCTGGGGTCATGTCAGAAGGAATTTCTAGAACAGCATTTCCTTGACTGTGGCCTTTTTGGAAACACCCACTATAATACTTCTAAAAGAATTTCTGAAAGACAGTGAATGAAATCCACTTAACCTAGGGAATATAATAGTCAATTTTAAAAGGTCCATTCAGACTTGCTTTGGAAAAGTGGCCATGACTGACAACCTAAAGCCAATGTAATAAGCATTTTGCCCAATAACAGTCATTTTACCCAGCAGCACTTTGATAAAGAAAAGGCAGACTTACCTGCACCTTAGCATTTACAGCCCCAGGAACTTGGTATCTCAGCTCATGGGCTGTCATCTGAGACTTTGGCAGCAGGAAAGGGTAAGAAAGGGACCGATATTTGGGTTTCATAATCTAAAATACAATCAGATGAAAAAGATGTGAATGAGAAAAGAGGTCCATTCTTCCCCTTTTTGTAACTCTAAAAGAAATTCAGTTTCATTTCAAAATAAAATGCAAATGTCAATGATGGACATTTCCAAGTAAAGGCTATAGATCTGTATAATATGTATTTCTTTTTGTTTTGTATTTTCTCCTTTTACTTTTTTTAAAAAAAGATTTATCTATTTATTTGAAAGTCAGAGTTCCACACAGAGAAAGGAGAGGCAGAGAGAAAGAGAGAAAGAGAAAGGTCTTCTATCAGATTGGTTCACTCCCTAATTAGCTGAAACAGCCAGAGCTGCACTGATCCGCAGCCAGGAGCCAGGAACTTCCTCTGGGTCTCCCACGCAGGTGCAGGGGCCCAAGGACTTGGAACATCTTTTACTACTTTCCCAGGCCATCGCAGAGAGCTGTATTGGAAGTGGAGCAGCCGGGTCTTGAACTGGCGCCCCTATGGGATGCTGGCACTGCAGGCGGCGGCTTTATCCACTACACCACAGCACCAGCCCCTCTTCTTTTACTTTTTGTAGCAAGCATTAATTGTTTTATATTTGTACCAACATTAAATATCTAGTTATAGATTATAAGCTCATTGTAAAAACAGGATTATTGTTTCACAAACCAATTTTTCACTATGTTGTATATATCTTGCCCCAGCACTATAATGCTATATCATTATTTTATTTTCATTTATTTAATTTTTAATTAGTTTTTAACAGATGCAATGTGCTTTGTAGATAAAATTTTTTTTACCTAAAAACCTTTTATTTAATATATACAAACTTCATGCATTTCATAAATACAAATTTAGGAACATAGTGATTCTTTTCACCCTACCCTCCCTTCCACCCTTCTTCCTCCTCCCACTCCTATTCCCATTTGTAGATACAATTCTCAGAACATAATGAAATTCCCTTCCTCCCTCCCTTTTCCTCTCTCCCTCCCAACTGATCATTATTTTTTTTTAAAAAACTTCAGAGTAAAGGTGTTATAGGATTTTAGGGCTCAATGAAGGCAAGGAGGCCAGGTAAAGCAGCTAAGACTTTATTTTAGAGGGGACAGAATGGGGAGGGGTAAGCAGCGGGAGCTGAGCCTGCTGGGACAGACAGGGGGCAGAGGGTTTGAAGCCAGGCTTCCTTCTGAGTGCAGGCAAAGCCCCTTCTCCAGCTGCCTGCAGGGGAGGTGCCAGAGGGACCCTAAGGTGGGTGGGGGCGTGCAGAAAGGCCCTGGAGCAGGTCACGGTGCACTGTCCTGGCAGCCTGAACATCCCCAGTGCAGGGCTTTCCTGAGCAATCAACTTTCCCCCAGCATTTAGATCATCTCGCCGCACCCGGTCTCAGGGGTTTGGGGGTTCAGGCTTCAGTGGCCTTCAAGGTTCTAACAAAAGCTGTACTTAAGAACCATAGTTTATTTAATAAATTCATATTTAACAGGCATTTCCATTATTTCTAATTTTATTTTAATTATTAGAGGTAACGTCAAAATAAATTACCCTACTAGATTACTTCTTTAGCTTCAAATACCTGGAAATAGCTTTTTGGGTCAACAATTGCATACTTTTAAAAATTTCATTGGTGTTTTACCAATTTATCCTCCCTCAAACATGGTATAAAAGCACACACACACATACACACACGCACACAGCCCAAACCCAGCTGCAGATATTAGCAGTTATTTTTTTTTAAGATTTATTGATTTGAAAGGCAGAGTCACAGACAGGCCGAGGCAAAAAGAGAGAGAGAGAGGCTTTCCATCCAGTGGTTCACCCCTTAGATAGCCACAATGGCCACAGCTCTGCTGATTGGAAGCCAGGAGCCAGGAGTTCCTTCTGAGTTTCCCATGTGGGTGCAGGGGTCCAAACACTTGGGTCATCTTCCACTGCTTTCCCAGGTTATAGCAGGGAGCTCTATGGGAAGTGGAGCAGCAGGGACTCGAACTGGCGGCCATATGGAATGGTGGCACTGCAGGCTGTGGCTTTAACCCGCTGTGCCACAGTGCCAGCTGCCAACCCCTCAGCAGTGTTTTTTATCTTTGCCAGTATACTAGGTTCAAAGTAATATCTCCCTGAATTTTTGTTAAAAATATCTCCTTTAGAACTTCCACTAGATTCTTAGGATGTTTATGTGAATGAAAAATGAAGTGAGACTCCCAGTTGTTGAAAAATTAAATCTTTTTTCTAAGTTATCAAGGGGAATAATGCCTCATCATTTAAAGTACTGTGGAACCTTAGCAACCCCTGGATGATGTGCCTAATTTAAGATCGGGACCCACTTTGTGGCTTAGCGGATTAACCCTCTGCCTGAGACGCTGGCATCCAATGTGGGCATGGGTTTGAGACCTGGCTGCTCTACTTCTAATACAGCTCCCTGCTAATGGCCTGGGAAAGGAGTGGGAAGATGGCCCAAGTCCTTGGGCCCCTGCATCCAAGTGGGAGACTTGGAGGAAGCTGCAAGAAGCCCTGGGTTCCTTGCTGCAGCCTGGCACAACCCCAGCATTTGTAACCATTTGAGGAGTGTAGCTGCAGATGGAAGATTGATCTCTCTCTCTCTCTCTCTCTCTCTCTCCCTCCTTCCCTCCCTCCCTCCCTCCCTCCCTCTGCCTTTAAAACAAGTAAAACATAAATCTTTAAAAAAAAATGTGTTAGGTCAAGTTCTTTTAAGTCCATGAGGCTGGCACTGTGGCATAGCGGGGAAAGCTGCCGCCTCCAGTGCCGGCATCCCATATGGCACCGGTTCAAGTCCTGACTGCTCCACTTCCCATCCAGCTCTCTGCTGTGACTTGGGAAAGTAGTGGAGGACAGCCCAAGTCCTTGGGCCCTTGCACCCGCATGGGAGACCCAGGAAGGAGCTTCTGGCTCCTGGTTTTGGATCAGCCCAGCTCCAGCTGTTGCGGCCAATTGGAGAGTGAACCAGCGGATGGAAGATCTCTTTCTCTCTCTGCCTCTCAAATAAATAAATAAATCTTTAAAAAAAAAAAAAAGTTGATGAGGCTTACTAAAGAGGACCCAATCAGGAGAAAAGAAAAATGGCTCCACTTAACACTGCCTGCTTTACCCTGATCCAACTCAGAATCCTGTGCAATAAGAATCTGGTTGCAGTGCAGAGGGTATGAGCGCTGCTGTGAGTCCCAGCTGCTCCACTTCAGTCCCAGCACCTTGCTGATGAACATGGGAAAGCAGCAGAATGTGGCCCAAGTGCTTAGACCCCTGCACCCATGTGGGAGACCCAGATGGAGTTCCAGCCTCCTGGCTTCAGTCTAGCCCAGCCCTGGCCATTGCAGCCATTTTCGGGAGTGAACCAACAGATGACAGATTTCTCTCTCTCTCTAACTCTGCCTTTCACATAAAGAAAAAATTTTTTAGAAGAACCTGGTATAATTCCAAGATTGAAAGGGACAACAAAGTCAAGCCCTCTCATCTAAATAAGGGTCCCATTCTCTACAATAGCTCAATAAACAGTCAATGCTCAATAAACAGTGAGAAACCATGATTTAAAGGCATGAGTATCCTAGGTGCTGGTCACAGCACCTATCCCTTCGCACTCTCAATTGTCCATGGTGTCAGAGCTCAGGGCCATTTCCTGCACCAGAGGCCCAAGTACTCTGAAAAAGATGCACCCAAGAGCAGTTGGGTGTCACAGCTGTGCCCACAGCAGCCCCTTCATGCCAATCCTCTGGTTTCTCCTCTAGCCAGGCCTAACTCTGAATCACCATCCCAACATCCAAGTACCTTCGTGAAGTTCCAGCGCTGGATGAAGTGACGCGCCACATCCCGAGCCGCCTTCCCGTGCACTGCGGACGCAATGTCGTGCCAGGGCATCCGGGGAGTGGAGTACCTGTCGATGAAATCTGCCCAGGTGCATCGGGCAAGGCTGAGTCACTAAGTTCTGTGCTGAGGACAGAGGCACCTGACCCCCGCTGTGATACACAGAGGACATACGTGTTCATCTCGGTTTGGGTAGAACACCTTTACTGTTGAAGATACAACGTTGAGGAACACAGGCTCCTGTGCACCTCCCCCAAATTGCTTCCATTTCACTTAGTACTACATAGTCCCCAGACAGGGTGAGATGAAGTCAGTATGCACTCTCTAAGGCCATACACTTGACATTCTAATTTCCTTTTTCTTCCTGTTGAAATGACGGCAGGCTACGCGTGTGCACTGCCATCTCTACCTCCTCCTAGAAGCAACAGCACCTTGGCAATCTCAACATAAGCCACTCTGATGCTGGAACACGGGGAGGATAAGAAGCAACAATGATCAAAGGAAGGCTACCACCTCTTGAGGAATTACAGATTATCACCCAGAATATCCCTATAGGAAACCTGGAGATGTCACAGTTAACTCTACTTCATATTCTTTCTTCAATGTAGTTACAAGAAAAAGTCCTTACATGTACAACTAAATCCCATCTCCACAACTGAACCCAGTTTCCATCAGTAATACAAACCAAACAAAGCAAAGCCAAAGGTGTTCAGATCATGAGCGTGCATATTTGTTGAGATGCTCCAAGTAAAAGACCACAATCTCACGGGCACCGCGCTGGCACGATACTCACCAGCGAAAGGTTTATCGAGCTGGACCCAGTCTTTGAAGACAAAGTTGCAGTAGTCCTTCCCGTGCCAGAATCTCGTTTCCCCATGTAGCTCGCCCACGCCTGTCTGCAAACTGCGGATGGAGCCAGCGTCTGTGAATGCAGCAAGACCCACCCAGAGATGAGTTCAGGTGAGCCCCAGAGAGCAAGGCTCACCTCTATTAAACTCCTAAAAATTTCTAACCCTTTCTTCCTAAGATCATGACTAGAGGACCAACTGTCTACCCAAGAGGAAGATGAGGGCAGACAGTTTCCCAACCCTCCTAAGGCTGTGCTTAGTGAGCAGCTGGGGCTACGAGCAGGCTCGTCGAGAGGCAGCACAGTCAGGCACTGAGCAGCTCACCTTCCAGGGCCCCGAGACAGCTGATCACTGGATTCACTGAGACCACGAGGGCCCAGCAGAACCAGGGGATGGTAGAGACCACGAGTCAGCTAGACAGTCCTGCCAGCTCTGCCCTCAACCAACAGGGTGCACGCCTAGCGTGAAAGTCTTGTCTTTGTGTCTCAAAAGCCAAGTGACACTGGGCTTCACTTTTCAGGTCAGAAATCTCTTATGTGTAAAAGGAAGAATGTGGCCTCAGTGACAGCCAAGATCTTCTGTCCTCTAACACTCCATATTCCTAAAATCATAAATAGCATCCATAAAAAAATACACAGACAGAAGCTTATCATATAGGCATGAAAGCAGCCATCTACTGTAGCACTTCACAGAGACATCTGCTGGGGCCATTTATTTGAGGGTAGATACTTAAGAGTGAAATAGTTTGTAAGCCCAGAGGAGATGTCCAGCACCAAGACAATGAAGCAGGAAGCCTAGCAGATCCACAAATCACAAAGGCAGCATGTGGCACAGAACAGGCACTTAACAAATCCACGCTGGATGCAAAAGTATTTGGTGAATGAGTAGGTGGTGCTGCTTGCAACAGCCTATAGGAAGACAGGACTGGCCTCCCTACCCCCCCACCCACCACAGTCCTGGTATTGCCTCTGTAAAATACAAAAACTCCTTGCTTAGCAGCCTTTTAGCAGCACCTACTGCCTACAAGGGGTTCAAGTCCCAAGGGCTTAGTATGTACCAAAGTCTCTTCCCAGATTGGCATCAACCTTTCCTTCTAGTCCTTCTTTTCCCCTACCCCCCACCCTTAATACCACATTTTTCCACATATTTTGACAGATGTGGCTGCCCTGCCTTTGTGCTGCTGGCACACTGTTTATTCTGCTTAGAATGCTCTTCTCTCTCTCTTGGCCTATCTCCCAACCACACTGCAAAGAGCCACATTAGCTGTCACCTGCCCCAGAGAGAACTCCCAGATACCAGGGACAATCAGTCATTCCATCAGCAACTGTATCCCTCAACAGCTCTGAGGCTGTGATGCGATGAGATAAGGAAGTCTCCCTCCACCAGTCTACAAAGCGTGGAGAGGGAGCAGTGTCTCCCGCGCTGCCCGCTGTAACTCCTGGCATCTAGGAGGCAGTCAGCAAATATTTGCAGAACAAATGCTTTTATGCAATCACTACACACAAAGCTAATATTTATCTCGAATTAAATTATTAACCATCCAAAGTTATTGAAATTATCTATAAAAATAAAATTGCTTTGGGCCTGCATTGTGGCACAGCAGGTTAGGCTGCTACCTGGGATGTGGGCTCCCAGAACAGAGTGCTGATTTGGGTGCTGGCTACTCTGCTTCCAATTCAGCCTCCAATCCAGGCTCCCGCTAACGGGCCTGGGAAGGCAGTAGAACATGGTCCAAGTGCTTGGGGCCCTGCCACTCATGTGGGGAACCAGAATGGAGTTCCTGGCTCTTGGCTTCATCCTGGCCCAGATCTGGCTGTCGCACCCATTTGGGAAGTGAACCACAGCAAGGAAGATCTCTCTCTCTTTATTTCTCTCTCTCTCTTTCTCCTTCCCTCCCTCACCCCCCTCCCCTTCTCTGTCACTCTGCTTTCAAATAAACACTTTTTTCAAAAAAATAAAGAAAAATGGCTTTAAAGTACCAATCATGAAAACTAAATGACTGCAAAAATAGTTTTCTATTGACTTCTCTCAGTGAATTATTTTCTTGCTGTTAAGACTGAAAGCCAAAGTATTGTTAGGTCTGTTTGTTCCCTCTTTAGGCTGTTAAGATTAAGCACTGCACTTTTTTAAAGAAAAAAGAACAAAGAATGAGATAAATACTGGAGCAAACTTTTTAAAAAATCATATATACCTATATTACCTGTTTTCATCAATTGAGAAAATTCTGAGCTAAGGCTTTACAGAGATATACACACTCATTTAAATCTTTGCTTCCACCTAACAACTGGCTATGACAAGGGAAACAAAACAAAGCATATTCCCAGTGTCAGAAAATTATCTCAGTACTAATTGAATCCAACTTGTTCATTATTCAAATTTACATTTTTCGCCATGGCTTAAACAACTCCACATAAATCAAGGGCCTCCTCAGAACTAAAGGACTATTGAGGCAGTAGACCCCAATGCCTAAGAGTTCCTGCATCACTGCTCAGAACTCAGGAGCACCCGTGAGCAGGTGGACAGGACTCACTCCTCGCATCAGCAATGGGGCAACCACTGACCTGCACCTGGCTCTCTCTTCACCTGTTTGTGCTGTTAGGGCAGAAGACCTGGCTCTGGGTAATGAAGAAAGAAGGGCTTATCTAGCTCACAATTCTGGTGGCTGGGAGGTTCAAACAGCATGGTGCCAGAGTCCAGTGCGGCTCCCCTTGGCTGTGTCACGACATGTGGAGGAGCAGAAGAGGCACACACATGGGGTGGCCTCGCTTTAACGCAATCCGGCCTCAAGAGAGCTAATCCACTCCCGTGAGATCCGACGCACTCCTGTGAGACAGCATTAATCCATTCCCGATGGTGGGGCCCATGAGCTAAGCATCTTTCACCAGGCCCCATCTTGTAAAGGCCCCAGCAGCAACACCCCACACCAGAACCTAAGTTCTGCACCTGAGCCTCGGGGGGACAAACCACATCCAAACCACGGCGTTCCCAAGTGATTCACAGCCGCTCAGCCGTGCCTTCGGCCACAGGTGTGTCAGCCGATTTCCCACACCCTTGTCGGTGGCCCAGATTCTGACTGCTAGAGACGAGGACAAGGCTGCCGCCCTGCTCCCTGCCTCTTCCTCCTCTGAGTTCCAGCCCCATTCCCCATTTCTCCAGTGGGCCTTCTCTACCTTCTGTCCTGGCTTCTCTTTACTAACAGTTTCCCCCAACTTTCCCGTCTTTTGCTTTATCATTCCTAAATATACAAGCGTAGGCCTGTCTTCTTTCTTGACATCTTTTACCTACCTGCCCCACCAGAACTTAAAAATCATATCCAGAAGTTCTACCTTGAGGATTTCCTGTGTGTAGTTACTCAAGCTCCAGCCTGTCAATCACCTATGGCTCCTCCCTTCTCCATCCACCTCCCACACCACTTCCTGCATCCTAATGAGATTCTGATTCTTCTTTTGGAAAATGTTTTTCCCAGGCACTCCACTCTTGGGCCTTCTAGCACTTCCAAGCCAGAGCCCTGTGTCTGTCTCCAGCAAAACCTCTGTAAAACACACTCTTACACCACTCTTCAGCAGTGGAGCTCCCCAACACCGAATGGATGAGGAGCAAAGTGTCGGCCTGACTTTCCAGGGCCACCACCAATTGGTACAGACATATCCCACCTGCCCAATCCACACAAATCAACACATGCTTGCCACAGTTCCAAAACCCCCAAAGCTCTGAAAATCCACAATTTTTTCCCTTGGTCATTTATTAACAAAACCTGACGTGCACCAACAAGAGGTTATTCATTATCATTATTGATCCATCTCAGGGTCTGCTAACACTCCAGGCATTTCCTGGGCACTGCTTGGAGAACACCATAGTACATGGTGCTGCTATTATATTACCTGTCTCAAAACCAGAATCTGATCTCTAAAGCAACTGACCCCAAGGGCTTTTTAAAATAAGAGCTTGCATATTTCTGAGATGCCTTTCTTTCTCCCTTCTTAGTCTACCTAATGAATCTCCACCTACATTTCAGGCAAGTTCCAATGCAGGTCCTCAATGGATTTCAAAACTCTTCAGATGGGGGGACTGTGAGGTTGTGGATCCCTATTACATGTGTGGACAAGGCTTCACTGATGCCTCTTGAAGCAACAGAGATAAAAAAACCTCTGACAAAATGGCTCCCTGAGAACAAAGTTTTGAGACAACTCAACTTACTACTCATTATCCCTTAAGACTAGATATTCAAATTTGAAAAATATTTCTCAACTAAATTGCAAAAATGATTTCTCCCCTCACTAATTATTTAGTACATCTTACAAGGGTAAGATCAGCAGATAGTTGCTGAATATAAAAGAGGTGAATTTCAAACCTTTCTAAGTAGACAATATCAAGCAATGCAATGTTAATTGGAAATTCTCCCTTTTATGAAGCAATTCTGAAAGAACAAAATTCTTTTGGAAGAATGAAGACTACAGGAATACACCCTGGTTACTACTGCCAGCCACATTTTAAGATGAAGCAAGGGTAGTGAAGTTTCTCTATGTGGCCAAGCTAGTTAAGCCAAGGCCTACAGTGTTGACATCCCATATCGATGCTCTTTCTAGTCCCGGCTGCTTCACTTCCAATCCAGCTCCCTGCTAAGGCACCTGGGAAATCAGTGGAAGATGGCCAGAGTGCTTGGGCTCCTACAACCACATGGGAGACTATGAAGAAGCTCTGGGCTCCTGGCTTTGGATGGGCCCACCTCCAGCCATTGTGGCCATTTGGGGAACGAACCAATCGATGGAATTTCTCTCTCTCTCTCTCTCTCTCTGATTTTCAAATAAATAAAATCTAAAAAACAATTTTTTTACATCCATGGTGGTCTTGTATGAACCCTGCACACTGATTTCTGTGCAATTCCAGGATGGTTTATTAGGAGCCCAGTTCAACACAGCCTGTTCCACTCAAGTGACACTGACTCCACAGAGAAGCTAACCTGGTCACATTCTCAGGAAAATCAAGTCATTAACTCAAGCCAATATTCAGTTTTACATTTCTAGTGGAGAGACACTCCATGCTGAACTGGGGTTTCAAGTCCTATAAGAAATGAATTAAAGTCAACACATGATTCAAGTCTAGAATTGTGCTCTTTACACGTCTTTCATTATTGTTAACACAATCTTACTTTTTGTCTTTGGAATTCACAAGTAACTCTGATAGACAAAACAGATACAAGTATTTTGTTCTGGTTGAAGCAGGTACCAAGAGAAGTAGGAGAGACCTGCGGTCACCTTATCGGTGTCCTTTCAGAACCCTTGAGAAACTCGAGGGTCCAAAGAAACATTTGGAAAGTTCTGCTCTAAAAGGACTATTATCCTTTGGCTTTTCTTGTTAATGTATCCCATATCAAAAATTAAATTTGTATTTATGTTACCATAAAAACGCTAAAACATTAGGAAAACAGTACCAACAAAGTGGAAAAGGAAGAAGTCCCTCAAGTTCCCTCTTCCGAGCAAAGCTAACATTATATTGTCCTTTGTCAGCCTGGTCCAGGGGCCTGCTTTGACAAGTGGCAATCAGCCCCAAACTCCTGCTCTTCCTTTGCTGCTCCCATGGCCTTCCCAGTGTGGCACCAAAGACTTGGAGCCCTGCACCTGTCATATCTCATACCCACTGCATTGTCAAGAGCTGGGAATTCTACTCTCAGATATATTCGGTTGGTCATTCTCTGTCACCCGAGTCTGCTCTGAAGAATGAGTCTGTAAAAACCAAGCCAGAACTCATCTGTCCTCTCCTTGGGACCATCAGATGAGTTCCTATCTCATGCAGGGCAGGATTCTTAACAAGCAGTCTGCAAGAGCTCCCACAATCTCCTCCCCACCCCCACACCTCTGACTCTGCTCCATCATGGGCCTGGGCCTGCAGCTCCCACCATCACAGCACATTCTCGGAGCCCACCCTACCTCATGGTCTTGTCCTTGGGGATTCCTCCTCCCAGCAGACAGTCTTTATGCTCATTATTCTCTTCCTTCTGATTCAGTTGAAAATTTACCTCATTAGAGAAGCACCCTCTGACCTCCCTCTCCGGGGTCTCCACAAGGTCATGGAAAGTGTGCATTATCAAAGAAACTGCACAGCTTTCATTTTTTTTTTCACCAACATAAACTCATCTTTTAATTCCATTTTCCCTGAACATTCTGCAATACCCTTCCCTATAAAATAGTAAACCTTCCCCCTCTCTGCCTCTGCGTTTATTCTGTTCCACTGTTCTCCATGGTAACCCTCACCAGCTGACTGGTGTTTGATGACCTATTTGTACAGACAATTCTTATCCTTTCCCCTAACTACTCAACTGCATTTCATCTGTTATATTCACTACTAGTATCTAGAATGGCGATTGGCATAATTGAAGAGATCAGTAAATATTTAGTTAATTAAATGAAAAAAAAATCTCTATTTGCTTCATTGTCCTTACAGTTTTTAGTGGTTGCTCAATTCCAACAAAGGGAAGAAAAATTAATTGTGTTCTTCTGCACTTATATTCTTTGATGTTTATGCTGTTCATCTTCATTCTCTCTGTCTCTCTCGATAAACAATGCTGCACTAGACATGCATCCAGTGTATCAGTGAAGGATTGTGAATATGTGTCAAGATACTTTCCATCAATACCAGGAAACCAAACACATCCCAGTGTCCTCAGATCATCACCATGGCTGTCTCCCCCTCAGCCTGAGTTACTCACTGTAGTCAGCAGCTGACTCAAACCTTCTCTGCTCTCAGTCCTATTGTAAGCAACACTAATACTCCATCAAAATTCAGACACCCCAACCTCATGATTTGGCAACCTCATTCTTCCATATCATTTTAAACTTCCAACCTAAAAGAGCAAAGCCACACATTGTAATACAAGGCACTACCTGGCCTTGTTTCCAACTCTTTACCTTTAAAATCTGCTGCAGAACACACCTCCAGCCCAGCCCTGTGGATTCCTAGAGGCCTTCTGGTTCCCAGGACTTTGAAGTTCTTTCAAGTACAGGAATTACTAGGAGTTGTCCTTGAATCTACTTATGTATCAAATACTAACTGCTTGCTAAATAAATGTCTTTCTATATATGTTCTTTACCATTTCAAATGTATATTAATCTTATTATAATTTTTAAAATTCAAATGTTATTGAATACTTATGTTGGAGCTTTAGTTCATTATATAGACAATTAATTCATTAAGCAAAGAATCAAACTAAAACAGCTTACACAGAAGGAAGAATACTGGGCACCATAGCTCAAGTCCGGCTTCATTTACCAGGTTTGTAAGCTATAAGCTACCCCACCTGGAAGCTGGACTCTAACTCCCTCATCTCCTAAACAGCACACAAGAGCCTTGGCCTTAGAACTAGGGCTACAAAGATCACGCTGTAATAACCTGCATTTCTGCCAAATCACAAATCTGAATCATGAGCACTAGGCAGCAATAAAGTGGATTTATTGGGCCATTTGCTTATCATTTGCAATCCTGAGTTTTTTCATTTCTAAAAAGAAGGCAACAATATTACTACCAAGCACAGCAAGTACTCAAGGCAGTGACAGACAGAATGTGCATCCAACAAAGGCTAGCCTATGGTTTTTACTATTGTTATTTATTACAATGACTACTTCTTCCCATATATGACCACTTACCAAATCCTTCTTCATTCCCACTACCATAATTTAGGCCCTGATGAATTAATTCTTGAGCCACCAGTTTCATTTTACAGAAGGGTACCAGATTACAGTTTCTAAAAATTCACAAATAGAGCATGAGACCTCCAATCAAAGGCCTTCAAGATTCTGAAATATGTTGGGAGTCTAGATGTGCCCAAGTATATCTTCCTAGTCTTATATCAAAAACTGCACCCTAGCTGACTGATGTGTTTTCTAATATTTAAAAGCAGGTGTGCTTTTCCAATCAAGCACTTCGGCTCAGCTTAACGTCCTTCACGTTGCCAAGTCTTGCTATCCTCACCTACTCCAAACAAACTATCGCCCGATCTAACTCCAACATCTCTCCTCAGTCTTTCTGGATCATCCCAGAGGGAGTTCTCCCACCTTCCACAGAACTTCTACAACGCTACAGCAGCGCATGTGCCACACATTGCATCCCTGTTGGGTATGTTTTACCTCTGCTGCTGCAGAACAGGTCCTTAGGAAGCAGGGGTCTTGGGAACTACTCAACATCTCGCACAGAGCAGGCCCTCTGCAACACATGTGGTCCAAATACGGGCAAACAGGAAGCCAGCATGGAAACACACTTACTATGCCCATGCAGCAGACAATGCAACAAAAGCTGAAGCTTCGGAGGCTCTGCCACTCACGTGTCACTTACCAATGTCAGGTCTAGTGAGTCCCTGCTCAGACTCACTGGACGGGCGAAAGAGTTTCAAGTGGGGTTTTAAACCATGGATTAAATTCTGATGGCTTCTATAGTGATTAAAATAACCTGGAGAAAGTTGAAAGTTCTTTTTTACACAGAAATATATATACGTCTGTGGTTTTCTGAACTGGAAAGCAAGTCTGATCATTTTTAAAACTAGGCAGGGCTATAAAATCAGTCATAAGATACAGTCCACAGAAAATTGCAGGGCTTTATGTCATATTTGGAAAGAACAGTAAATTTGTAAGATGTAGAAAATCTGATGTTTGAGGATATAAGCTTGGCATATTCCTGAAGGGGAAGAGAAATGAAATTTCTTCTAAGAAAAGTTTATGAAGTACATGTAAGACCTTTCTTTTTCGTTTATGGCTCTGGCATACTTTAGAAACTCTTAGTCATTCTGTTACCGTAAGAAGCATGAATTGTGATTGCTATAACTACTTGGTAGGAATAAAACAATAAATCTATTCTACAGTGGGGTAAACAAAGACGTGCAATGGCATGATACTGAATAAGATGATACAGAGACCTTTCAGCATTGCTCGTTTTATCCTGTTATCGAAGACAGGTTTTAAGAAGAGGTATGTATGACGAGCTGTGAACTGAACAGGATAAACACGAGCACAGACCATGACTTACTGGAGGCACTGTCAATACTGCTGATGCTGTCGGTGTTGTGCAGGTGGTGCCTGTGGAGCTGCTTATAGAGGGTAAATTTGGAGAACCTCCTTGGCTTTCCTATTCCTTTTAATTTTGAATCCACATCATCAAAACTCTTCCGGATGGGCAGATTTTTATTGGATTGATTTTTATCTTCGAGACTTAAAGACTCCATAGACCCTGTTGTTGCAACCTGAGGAAATTATTAAAAAAAAAAAAAAAAAGACACTGCATAAGATGTGATGCAACACAGTCCTTGACTTTGGCGGGTGCTGAGGTACAAGGGTTACGCATGCTGCAGGTGTGGGAGGAGACACATGATAACTCCGAGGTCGGTCGCAGGGCAGTGCAGATTTCTGGGAGCTGTTTAAACACTATCAAGGGCACACCATAGGGCTCTTCTTTCAGGAGGCCAAACTCTTGAAATTTCACTCCAATTAACTATCTTATCTTAAATGCCAGCCACTCTGTGAGCTAGATTCACCATGGAGCTGCTGAACTTCTCCCTCTGATAAACGTTAAATAAGCAATGTTTCTTCCGTCAATCATTTTCCCTGTTCCCTATTCATTAAATTGCTATTTCCTAGAAAGTCAGCAACACATCTAGCACTAAATAAAATGAAGCCCTTCAAAATTTTTAGTTTAGTGTCTTGATATTTTGTAGCCATTCCACTGAAGTAGCAAGCAGACAGGTAAACATATCTCCACAGCTCTTGATTTGAAAAGTACTTTGAGAAGTTATTAACTTCCTGCTCCAACAGAATTCTCTCTAAATGAAGGTTTCAAGTGCCTTTGCAGCTACTTTTTTATTATTATTTTAGTTTTTTATTTATTTGTTTGAAAAGCAGACCTACAGAGTGGGGAGGGGAGAGAGAGAGAAAGAGAAAGAAAGAGAGAGAGATTTTCCATCCACTGGTTCACTCCCCAAATTAACTGAACGGCTAGGGCTGGGCCAGGCCTGACAGAAACCTAGAAGTCAATCCAGTTCCCTCTGTGGATGGCAGTGGCCCACGTGCTTGGGCCATCTCCTGTTGATTTCCCAGGAACATTAGCAGGGAGCTGGATTGGAAGTGGAACAGCTAGGACCTGACCTGGCACCCACATGGGATGCTCGCATTGCAGACAGCAGCTTAACCACTGCCGGCCCCTGCAGCTACTTTTAATAAAGCTTCTTACTCTGACTGAACCTTCATCTGTATTGTCACAGAGTCTTGTTTAGGAATTTTTTTCCCCACAAATAGAAAGTCTTTAAGTGGGAACATGGGAGCTGGGTATGAGGCAGCAAACACTGTGTTGAAGCTTTACTCTTCACACAAGGGAGGAAACAGACTGAGGGAGGTCAGCTGGGGAGGCTGGGATCTGAAACCAGCTCTGTCCTCTAGCTCCCCAAGGAGAAGCCACCTGCCGCTCAATCTACCTGCTCCCCTATCCACAAATCCTGCTCACTTCAGTTCCACAGAGGTGGTATGCATGCACTCACCGTGAGGGAACCCAGAGACGGCCCTGAGGTGACACGCTTCACGCTGCCCACGTCCGTCAGCCTGTGCTCATTGTCATCCCACCTGCCATAGGCCAGGTCAATCCCACCCACGAAAGCCACTGACTGGTCGATGATGACGAGTTTCTCGTGATGAGCCCACAGATAGACGGTGGACGACACGTGATCCGGGTGCCGCATCACCTAGAGACCGGAAGAAATCCTCAGTTAGTGTGTTTTATAAAATGTCCTTCACGTCATATTAAGTCAAGTCTGCTTTCTCCCTGGAAAGCATATTTAATAATTCAAATATCAAAATCTATTATCTGTATATTCCCCCCCACCCCGTGCCCACTAAAATCTCTCAAACTCCTAATTGCATTCTCCACGTGTATCAAAGGAAGACTCCTATCTACTTTCTATGCACGCCTACTGTGGTAGAGATATTCCCAAGGTCAGAAAGAAAAAAGAAAAAAGAAACCCTGGGAATGGAATGTGGTCATTATCCGCTTGCCTATGAATGCTTCAACTGTAGTTATTATCTGCTTCTATGTAACCATTTAGGATTGTGCTTGCTAAACAGAGCAAGGGTGTTAATCCTTGCCAAAGAGCACAGAACTCATCAGTATGTGTGTGAGAAAAACATCAGTAACTATGTACACATGCCCAGGATTGTATCGATTCCTGTGGCCGCAATGTAACATTAGAATATTCAATCAAATGCATTCATGTAGCCATATAAGGGAAATAAAGAGGCTAAAACATACATAAGGAAATACCCCTCTTTGTGAGGGCTCAGTCTTTCTAAACAGGAATCCAACTGAGCCTTATGCAGGCATAATAAAAGACTGCTTCCTGGCCTTGGTGTCTCCTCTCTGCTCACAAATCTGCTACCCTAAGTCCAGGTCCCAAATTCATGGTAGCTTCTATTGATGTAGGCAGGCATACAAGATAAAACTGATCAGGTCAGTGAGCTGGAAGACCACACCTTCACCACACCCTAGTGTGATCTCATGTCCCTACCTGGCCATACCTGTGCACCCACCGGCCAATCAGATTAATTAACCTCCCCCCTTTGAAAGTAGATTAAAGGCCTGCAACATGGTGGGCCCAGCCTTTTCTTTTTTTGGCCTTTTGCCAGCGTGGGCCTGCGCTGCCCTGCGCCTCCAGGATGCTTGGCCTCTGGGCCACCTGCCACATTCTTCCTGGCTTACATGCTCCTCCACGTGGCTGGCTCCTGGTACTCAGTATGAACCCAGATTTCCCTCTCTCTTTTAGATAGGGCCCTCACTCTCCTATGCATTTCTCTCACTGAATAAGAAGCTTGAAACTTATCATGCTGCTTCGTTCATTTATGCCAGCATTCAGAATTCTTCTCTGAATATTAGGCAAGAACCCACACAGGCTTATTCACATTGGGAATTTATTAATAAACACATGGTGCTACTGTATGGCATCCCACATTCCAATATCACTATGACTATATAATTGATAAAAGCTCAGTGTGATAGCTGGTTCCCTTTTCTGTCTACAAGGATTATGTTACATTTTTTCTAACTTCAAAATAACCACCATCTGTCTCTGGAAAACTAATAGGTTATATTTGGCAGCTATTGAGTTGGAATGCTAAGTATATGGATATAAACAGAGAGATATGAAAGGTATTTTGAGAAGTGAGTGACCCCATGCTTTCAACCAGAATTCCATAAATGATCCAAGTCTGACCTATCCTGTTTTCACGTGCCTAAGAAGAAACGTTCCCAAAACTTTGGCAATTACTTTTCATTGTGGTAAAATATACATAACATAAAACTTCACATCATAACCATTTTTAAGTGCACAGTCCAGTGACAACAGGGTGACGAGTTAGGGAGTCTTTCCCCCTCTTCAATTTCTGGAAAACTTTGAGAAAGACTGATATAAGTTCTTCCTTTAATGTTCAGTAGAGGGGCCGGCACTGTGGCTCAGCGGGTTAACGCCCTGGCTTGAAGTGCCGGCATTCCATACGGGCACCAGTTCCAGTCCCGGCTGCTCCACTTCCCATCCAGCTCCCTGCTATGACCTGGGAAAGCAGTAGAGGATGGCCCGAGTCCTTGGGCCCCTGCACCCATGTGGGAGACACACAGGAGGCTCCCGGCTCCTGGCTTCAGATTGGCGCAGCTCCAGCCTTTGCAGCCAATTGGGGAATGAACCAGTGGATGGAAGACCTCTTTCTTTCTCTGCCTCTCCTCTCTCTCTGTGTAACTCTGACTTTCAAATAAATAAATCTTTTATATTTAAAAAAAATGTTCAGTAGAATCTACCGGTGAAATCATCACATGTAGGACTTTTCTTTTTCTGGGAGGTTTTCGATAACTGATCAATTTCCTCACTAGTTATACCTATGAAGGTTTTACATTTTTTTCACGGTTTAGTCTTGCTAGGTTTTGTGTTTCCAGGGAATTTGTCAACTTTATCTAGGTAATACAATTTGTTGATTACAGTTGTTCACAGTAAGCCTTTTGTTTCTGTAAATTTTGCAGTGATGTCCCATTTTCTTTTCTGTAAAACTTGGCTCTTCTCTCCTTTTTCTTAGTCCATCTAGCTAAAGGTTTGTCAACTTTGTTGATCTTTTCAAAGAACGAACTTTTAGGTTCACTGATTTTTTAAAATTGTTTTTCCATTTTGTTTGTTTCTGCTCTCATCTTATTTTCCTCCCTTCTGTTAGCTTTGGGTTTTGTTTGTTCTTTTCTAGTTCCTCAAGTTGTAAAGTTAGGCTGCTCTTTTGAAATCTTTCTTCTTTCTTAATGAAGCATGTATAGCTATAAAGTCTTCCCTTTGCACTGCTTTTGCTGTGTTTCATAATTTTTGGTATTTTGCTTTGTTTTCATTTGTCTCTAAGTGTTTTCTATTTCCCTGGTGATTTCTTCTTTGAGCCATTGCTTGTTCAACAGTTTGCTATTTAATTTCCACAAATTTGAGATTTTCCAGTTGTCCTTCTGTTATTGGTTTCTAACCTCTTCCTGTTGTGGTTGGAAAGATATTTATATGATATCTACCATCTAAAATCTATTACGACTTAATTGTAGCCTAATAGATGGCCTCTCCTGGAAAATATCCCATTGGCACTTGAGAAAATATGAATGTTGCTGTTAGTAAGTAGAGTGTTACAGATACAACCATTACACTGAGTCAGTTTAATGTGCTGGTCAGGTCCTCCTGGTTCTCACTTATTTTCTGTCAGTTGTTGTATCCATTATTGAAAGTGGGGAGTTATTGAATTCCACAACTATTATTGTAGAACTGTATTTTCCCCTCTTTGATACTTCCAGTTTTTGGTGCATAGATTTTGAAGGTCTGTTAGTAGGGGTGCCAATGTTATAATCATTGTATTAAATTATTATTAACACATAATGTCATTTTTTCTCTTACAATCTTTTTTTTTTCTTAAAGTCTATGTGTAATGTTAGTTTAGCCACCCCTGCTCTCTTTGGCTAATATTTACAGAGAATATCCTTTCTGTTCTTTCACTTTCAACCTATTTGTGTCATTGCTTAAAGAGTAAGTCTCTGGTAGATATCACTTAGTTTGATATATTTATTTATTTGAAAGTCATAGTTACAGAGAAGGAGAGGCAGAAGCAGAGAGAGAGAGAGAGTTCTTCCACCTCCTGTTTCACTCCCCACATAGCCACAACAGTCTGGGCTGGGCCACGCTGAAGCCAGGAGGCAGGAGCTTCTTCCAGGTCTCCCATGTGGGTAGTAGGGGCCCAAGCACTCAGGCCATCATCTGCTGCTTTTCCCAGGCCATTAGCAGGGAGCTGGGTCAGAAGTAGAGCAGCCAGGTCTCAAACTGGCACCCATAAGCGATGCCGGCATTGTAGGCTATGGCTCTATCCACTATGCCCCAACACTGGGGCTCTGGATTACGTTTTTGTTAACCCTATCTGTAAGTTTCCAGGTTCTTTTTAATGGAAAAATCAACCCACTTACATTTAAAGTAATTACTGATAAAGGACTTACTTTTAATTTGTTTTTAATTTGTCTTATAGCTTTTTGTTGTCCTTCATTTCCTCAATTACTGCCATTTTTTGTGTTTAATTGATTTTTCCTGCAGTGAAACATTTAAATTCCTTTCTCATTTCCTGTTGTGTATACTCTGTAGCTATTTTCTTTATGGTTGCCATGGGGATTATATTTAATATCTTAAAATTGTAACACTCAAGTTCATACCAATATAACTTCCATAACATTCAACACCTTTATTCATTTAACAGCCCTATGGTCACTCCTTGTCGTTGCTGATGTCACGAGTTATATTCTTAGTAGTTTTTGAAAGAAATTTGGTGAATGAATAAATAATCTGTAGAAATAATGCACCTCAGTAACTCATTCTCTGGGGGAAAATACTCTGGTTTTCAACCAAGTATCAGACACAAATGTTATGTGTTTTAGGCCTGATGGCGATTTATTAATTTGTTAAGTCTTTTTGTATCTCTATGACTGGGTGCTATTTACTGATGGGGTTCAGGTTTTTGGTGAAATATCAAAGAGCTTTTTCCAATTGCTTACCATATCCACTTAGTATACTGGTATTTTACACTGGGTGCTTTGATTCTAAAGGAACACATTCTAAATCCTAGGGAAATCACTTCACAGCTATCAGCCACCAGTGGACGTCACAGGGAGACCGCATGTCAGAGGTTTCAGGAAAATCTTACTGAAAGTGTAAAGATTTGTAGGGATCTTAATTATTAAGACAGCTGTGGAAAGTGTGTTCCTGGCTAAACTTTCAATTATCAAGGTCAAAGCAGCAGAAACAAGAGGTTTGCTGACCCTCAGCAATGGAGGGGGTATGAGGAAGCAGAGGATTTTCATTTGTTTCTTAAGACTTTATGCTAGTTACTCAAAATATACATTAGGAAACTGTATAGAGTATCATGATCCAGGGCAAATCCATCTGGAAAACTCATACAGAACAAGACAGAAGAAACACTGGTCACCAGGATGAACCCAAATACCTTTATGTTGGGGTGTAGACGCATTAAGGTCCTCTTGCTATATTCACTATTGATTCCAAGAGCAAGTTCCACCTCTTTGTAGAGCATTATGAAGATCCTCACTCCCTGTTGCTGTCACAAGAGAAAACACATGGAAGGAGAAGGTTATGATTTTTTTCTTCCTTTCTGTGCAATGTACTTTCTAACTTTCTTCGATAAACAAGTATAACAAAATTATTAACTAAAGAGGCAATACAAAGAAGTGACATAAATATATATTAAGACACAAATACCAAGAATAAACATTTATCTCATTCCCATTCTTATGACTTCTTATAGCAAGAGTGTCAATGTTTAATTAATTACAAACCCAGAAGTTGAAGTTATAATTCTAGTTGTTAAAAGTGTCCTACAGTCTTATATGACTTTTTAAAAAATATTCATTAAGAAACAAAGAGACATACAGAGAGAAAGGGACAGATAGAGAGCCGCCACATGCTGGTTCACTTCCCAAACGCCTGCAATGGCTGGAGCTGCTCAAGGGGCCAAAGCCATAAGCCAGGAGCTCAGTTCAGGTCTCCTACAAAGGTGGCACCCAATTACTAGAGCCATCACTGCTGCCTCCCAGGGTCTACATTAGCAGGAAGCTGGATTCATGATCTACAGCCAGGAATTGAACCCACCTACTCTGAGACACAGGTGTCTAAACACCCAGTCTTACAACTTGAAAACACCTGTCATTAAGGGAATTTTTGACCTGATTCATGTTACTGGATTAGAGTTTTTGGTTGGTCTACTTTCATTATACTTCAATTAACTGAAATAACAGTGACAAAATTTTTTGATGCAATAAATTATGCTCAATTTCAGAAAGTATTTTTTCATAGTATTTTTTCTTTATTGAAAAAAATTACTTAAGTGGGAAAAGCATTTCTTAATCTTCAAAAATAAATGTATTGGTTCATCTTCTTAACCCATAATTAGATCATTAGTGTATTTCACTATGGAAAGGATTTCAACAGAAGTAAGCTTCTCTAAAATTCAAAAGTCACCAAGTTTTAGTAAGGGTTTAATATCAAGTGGACACATAAATTAACATTGACTCATCCTTAGACTCTGGGCCTAAAAGAAAATAGACAAAAGTACTATGACTCATTTAAGTAGGTCAAACTAAATTGAAATGCTTGAAAAGCTTTGAATGCTATACAAATAACAATGTTAAGAATCAAAAAGACTCTGCAAATATAGAAAATATTTTAGTTCTGGTTGGACACAAGCTTTTCACCTTGGCTAAATTGCCATGGGAACTGAACGTTCCTCCTCTTCTTCCTACCCACTCCTACAAATTCCCTCTCCACTCCAAGGTAATTTCAGCTCAGAATATATTTCCCACTGGAGTCTGTCTTATTTACCCCCACTTCCTGTATTTACATGTTGCTGTGCACTGAGGAAATCTGGGTATGTGGAGATGACCCACTCTGGCTCTAAAAAATTCAGGATCAAAAAGATTATACATGTCATTCTAGTTCTACAGCTAACCTCTGGAACTCACTTATTACTTACTGTAATCATGCAACTACTAATTACAATCAAGTGTATAAGTACATATTTGAGCAAAGAAATACAGAAGAGCAAATGCAGGCAAAAAGTGAAGTGAACAGATTAATTTCAAATGGTCTGGACAGTGAGTGCTATGCAATGAACTGGTGAATAAGGGCTCTTCGGCAAAGTCAGAGATTTTATCATTTTCTTGTACTGCTCAGATATATTTTGCTATTCAAAAACTAAGATTCAGCACTGGATAATGGTTCTGAAAATATAACCTCTCACTGAAGATGTAATACAAAGCTTAAAACCCTAAATTTCAACCTAAATTATAGAACGTTACACCTGACATCTTTCATCACGGCTCATTTGTTTTAAATGGATGAAATTCTGCTTCTTAGGCTTATAAGATTATTACTCATGAAGGGCAGTAGTTGCAAATTAAGAACTTGGCCTGAACCCCACAACTTTCCATTTACCGGAATAACTAATGGGGGTTTTAAATAGTAGAGATATTAACATTAATGGATTACATTATTATCCTCCATGTATTAACACCTGACATTTTCATTGAAATAAATGAGCTCCAAAGGAAATTGGGTAGAAAGCTTGAAGTCTTTTTGGCTAAAATACAAATGACTAATAAGGAGGTAATTAAACATAAAGAGTTCATTTTTTAACGTGGTTTACAATTATATTCTTCTACCTACAGCCACAATAAACAGTTAATTAGCAGCAAGATTTCCATGATACATTCCTTGTCTTTTGTTCCTGATATTACGACACTATCATAACCATTAAAGGGCAAGGGAAATTTGTTCTTTAGGAACAAAGACACCTGCTTCACTGTAAAAGTGTAGATTCATACTCTATGGGAAATATTTCTCCAAAAGGAAAGCCTTGTTTAGAAAACAAGGACTGGTGTTAAGTCTGTAACTTAAAAAGTGCATTTTGGAAATACCCATGTCTTATTAACACCTTTGAGGGACCAGAGGGGAAATTACTTTTTGCTTAGAGAAAGGGAAGGAAAGTACTAACAGGAGAAGTAGGAAGATGCGTGTCCTCGAGCTGACTGTGCAACTGCCATGTTTCCCAGCTCTGCTCAACTCGCCCAACTCATGTCCCAGAGGATAAACTCCATGAGACAAGTTTCAACAGAGGAAAGCTCTGTCTTCTGTCCTGGTTAGTTTCTCATCAAGACATAATAAGCACTAAGAATTTTTACAATAGAACAGTAAGAATTCTTAGGAGCTTTAGAGACACTAAATACATGTGAAAACAAGGAAAAAAATAAGAATTTTTATAGCAAACATCAAAGAGAATGTGATTCTTATCTAGATTTTTCTGATTGTTCAAGTAGTATGGTCAAAACATTTTCTATATGCAGCCAAGTTTGTCCACTGCTTGAAAACAGCTTAGCTTACACACCCCTCCATCCCAGGATTATCACTTGCCAAGGACTTCCCAGGGGGCTCAATATATTAGGCAAATGAAAAGTAAAGAATAAAAAGTAATTTTATCCTCCCCACTTAAAAGCAAGTAGCACTAGGCTATAGGAATAGAAATGTTTCTCTCTCTCTCTCTCTCTGAACCTTTTTTTTTTTTTTTTTTGACAGGCAGAGTGGATAGTGAGAGAGAGAGACAGAGAGAAAGGTCTTCCTTTTGCCGTTGGTTCACCCTCCAATGGCCGCCACGGCTGGCGCGCTGCGGCCGGCGCACTGCGCTGATCCAAAGGCAGGAGCCAGGTGCTTCCCCTGGTCTCCCATGGGGTGCAGGGCCCAAGCACTTGGGCCATCCTCCACTGCACTCCCTGGCCACAGCAGAGAGCTGGCCTGGAAGAGGGGCAACCAGGAAAGAATCCGGCGCCCCGACTGGGACTAGAACCCGGTGTGCCGGCGCTGCTAGGTGGAGGATTAGCCTATTGAGCCGCGGCGCTGGCCCCAATTTTGTTTTAAAGCACAGTCCCGAAGGTTACAGAATCTCCTGTTTCCCCACAAGCCGTGCTGGCCCACCACTGATAAGATTCCACTTGGTTTCCTGTGCAGAGATGTGACGTCTCATTTCCCAGCTCTGGACACCTTTCCCTTTTATGGGTCCCTGGATTACAACTCTAGAAGGTTCCTTGTGATCTAAGACAGAACATAAATCCACCTGGAAGCAAATGCCTCTCAGAACCTCAACCGTTTCCTGCCAGTCTTCAGGCTGCTCCACTTGCAGATACCGCCATGCTCACATTGCTATGGTTGAAACATACACAGCTGGGGTGCAGGGATGTGGCACCCTCACTAGAATTTAGCTTGTCTCACCTTTTAGTGGAGTAAGTGCAAAACTGTGGAAATGCCCTGGATGCTGCTTTCTTTGAATTATAAACCACGCGCCTCCCAAGACCGGCTTAAACTACTTTAAATGGTGACCTCCCATATCAGCAGGGCACAGGCACAAGAGAATTCCAATTCAGTTACTGCCGGGAAAGCAACACAGCTTCTTTTTTTCCCTAAGAAACAGCCATTATAAGAGATGTTTGCCAATATGTTGGCTATGAGATAGAGATCCTTTGTAAATTACTCTTTAAAAATCTGCACAGATAGGAAAAAAACATTCATTTTAATCAAACTTGCAGACCTCTGAGACCCAGTAATGCAAAAATAAATATTATGTTTCAACCCTGTAATTTGTGAAGCTGGTATGTGGCTTTCAGAAACTAAATTATTTATGTGAAGCAGTGTTTATGTGCAATGAAATGTCAAATTGTAATGATCTGAGTGTTAAAAATTTATGACCAAAGAAAGAATATGCTGTAGTGAGATTAAGAAAGAGCATTTTTCTAAGTCTACCACTGGAAATTAATCTTTGCTAATATTACTATTTCCTTAGGAAATAAAAAGAAAATAATCACCCCAAATTGTAAGATTCGAAGCTGCAACAGTTGGCTGCAATGGAAACACAGCACCATGATCAAGCAATGATGCTTACTGGGCCACGGTGTTCACCAGAGACCTCACCAGGGTTCACTGGCCATACAAAGAAAAACCAGGCTAGCCACAGAAAAGCAAGTGGACAGGCATGCTGACAGTAGACTAACACATGTCGACTAACAAGAGCAGGAGGGCCAGGTCTGTGGGATCTCCCCACTGAGCCATTTCCTAGCTTCCTCGGGTCAACTTACGTGTCCTGTAGACACCTCACACTCAAATGATCTAAAAAGGGGCTTTCTGAATCTGAGTGCTCCCCACTCTCTCCCACACACTACTCTACCTCAGATGAACCCTCCTCTACTGCACGCCCACGGTGCTTCCCTGTCTCCCAGGAAGTCCAAACCACTGGCTTGACTCAGATCTCCACACCCTGACTGCCACCAGCTGCTCCAGCCTGAGCCCAGTCCTATCTGTGCTCTCTCGGGCACTCAACCTTGCCCGCTGACTGTGACTGACGAAGCCTTTGGCATCCTTGTTTCCTCACAACATGTACCACATCTAGAAACTTCTCCTTTCCCTATCAAAAACATGTGCCTCTTCCAAGTACCTTACATCCTGAACAGATCTGCCCAATGCTCTCTCTGTTGCCTTTGCGTCTGGGCCCTGCCACTGTACTCTGTGCTTAGCTGTACAGATTTTTAAGCTCCTTCAGCTCAGGAATCATAGCTCTTATCTATGCACATTCCCATATGATTAGCCAAGCTTCCTGCACATGGTAGGTATTTAACACAAATACATAACAATTGAAACTCAAAACAGTGAAGTATGTGATAAAAAAAAACTCTGAGGAGAGGATTTACTAGCGTGTGTGAAGATTGCTAGGCAAGGCTACAAAACTAAAGGGAACTTTGAATGGAACTGGGAAAGGTGACATTTCACAGACAAACATGGAGCAAGCTGTAGCCCATTCAACAGGAAGAAGTTGGGTAAAGCTAGAACTGAGTGCAGTACATGATTCCTGGGGCAAGCCCCACAGGGCATGGCTGGAATCCACTCCCTGTGGTGTCGCTGGTACCTGGCTCACAGGTGACACTCAGTAAGTTGTACTGAATTATTAACAACTATGTGAATAATGCTTTTCAATAGGAGAATTTCCAATTCTGTTGATACAATGAATTATACTATCCATGAAAGTGATGCCATTTGGCGGGACATGTATCTGAAACAAAGATAGCAACTTCTTCTTGCCATCAGTATGGGCAGTGAGGTCTCACTGTAGATATCTTGACATCCTACTGTAAACATATGGAGAAAAGACACTGCAAGAAAGGGGTGGGGGAGAAGGAATGCAATGCAGAGGCTAGGAAAGAAGAAACAAGCAAAGGGTACAAGAAATAGAAAAACTGTAAAATTTGCTCCCAGTTACTTTGGATCTACACATTCTGCAAGCATATTTAGTGACAGAATTTAAAAAATGGTGAAGATAGTTTCAAATGACAGCAAAAGGACTGGTGCACTCTAACTTTGATTAAAGATAAATCCAGATCTATTCTAATTTACTCGGAACTGGTGGTTGAAGGCCCACAGCCCAAAGAAATTCATAGGTAACATGAATGCTGTCGCTGGTAAGCCTGTACTGCTTCAGTTACATCTTCTAACAAAACAAAGGCACATTCAATGCTCACTAAGTCTGTATGTTTGAAATGTTTTATATCATGACCATGAACATCCCCATTTTGGGACCAAACACCACCAATTCTTACTGTCCTCCACCTTTGATGTTCTGCACCAGCTTGACTCAAACTGACCAAAACTATTCCCCTACAACTTTAGCTTTAGCTTGAAGTGACAGAATGATCCATAAAATGAAATATTACATTTCATTTTATCACTCATCATCCAGTGATGACATGGTCTTGCCTTTTCTTGCTGATAAAATCAGTTGCCCATAGCTAACTAAAAAATAAAAATTAGGTTGCTAATGTCATCCATGCTGTTAATTAGGCTAAAATATTTATATATTCAAAAGTAATAAGAAAAAAACACAGAACCAAATGAGCTGGAAAACAATAATGTAAACTCTAAAAGAGTTTTTTTTTTGTTTTGTTTTGTTTTGTCAAACTCTAAAGTAGAAAGTTCTGAGCATATATGGAAGAGAAGAGGCATTCCAAAGGCAACAAACACTGAAACGTTTTCAACACAGGTGAGAGTACATACTGCTTTTCGTTTCAGAACACAGTCCAACCTCCAGCGATTTCCTTCAACCACGGGGCGTTTCAGGAAGATCTCTGGACTCAACCTGAAATCAGGAAATCAAGATCTCAAGCAGCCAAAACAAATAAAAAGTTGTGATTGTGTCACAGGAATCAGACGCAGTGTTACCCAAGTACTATCACCACACTCCACCGTAATAAGGTCAACTCAAGTTTTGTTATGAGTCAGTGTACAAACTCAGGTAGAACAAAGGGTCTTCATCCACACAAAAAGTCTACCTCCATTTCTGTCTCTCTTTTACACATATCTGCGCCCATTTAAACACATGCAGATACTGCTGATCTCCTGCCCAACACCCATGTCCACCCTCTCCTTGCTTGCTGTCTGGCCTCCTGCCCACAGGAGTCTGAATATTCTAAATCCTTGCTTCTCCAGCGTTCATGCAGTACAGAGCGATGGGACACAGCCTTCCACATCCAGCTTCAGGCTGGATCTAGTTTCAGGGCTTGATGCTTCCGGAGGTGCAGCCATATTCAAACTGGAGGGAGCAGATCAGAAGCCTGAAGTCATTAGACGCCCCTACTAATCCCAGGACCACCCAACTTTGGGTTTCTCATTAAATGAGACAGCTCCTCAGTGGTTAGGTCTTCTTTAACTGAGCACTGCTGCCCCATGCTGAAAGCACTCCAACAGATGCACACATGCGCTGACTTCCAGTATCATGGAGTGTGTCCACGGGAACTTGGGGATGTCTGAGCAGGGAAGGAGGAGGGTTGCTGAGACATGGCACACTCCACGTGAGCAGGGACCCGTGCTCTTCTCCTTGGGCAGGGCCACCAGGTAGGTAAGGACACAAGACAGTCATGTTTGCCCCTGAAGGTGGGTTCTAAAGTCTGTGTCTGAGTGAAGTCTGTAAGTGATGCAACTCCTCTGAGAGGAGGAAAAGCAAGTAACAAACATTTATTTAAAAAAAAAAAACCTTCCTTTGCTGAACTGGTAAGGCTGGAGAAGCCAGGGTAGCCTTGACAGGATTAACGCCTTACAGGATTCTGGGCTGGAACATGGCCTTGCTGGGGAGTCCTCCAAGCATGGGAAAACAATGGGGCGGCAGGAGCCAAAGGGATGAGAAGAAATCAGTTTTATGCTCTATTTCATTCAGTTAAAGAAAATAAAACGCCACAGATGAAGTTTCTCAAGGAAACACACATTGGCTAAGATGGATACGGAAATGGGCAAAGGAAGGAAGGGAGAGTATAGTGCAAGTACTTGCACAATTACTTCAGAGCAGGAAACATACTTGGGGGTAACCTCTGTCCAAGCAAACAAGCAGGGCCAGTCCCTGTGGCATGATGGGCTAATACTCCGCCTGCAGCACTGGCACCTCATATTGGCACCTGTTCAAGTCCCAGCTGTTCTTCTTCCCACCCAGCTTTCTGCATAAAGCCTGGGAAAGCAGTAAAAGAAAGCCCAAGTCCTTGGGCCCCTGCATCAGCACTGGAGACCTGGAGGAAGCTCCTGGCTCCTGGCTTTGGATCGGCCCAGCTCTGGCTGTTGAGGCCACTTGGGGAATGAACTAGTGCATGGAAGACCTATCTGTCTTTCCCTCTCTCTGTGTGTAACTCTACCTCTCAAATAAATAAATAAGATATTTTTTAAAAATCCAAGCAAACAAGAAAGTAAATAAAACATGGGGCCAGCGCTGCAGCGTAGCAGGTAAGGCTGCCACCTTCAGTGCTGGCATCCCATATAGGCGCCAGTTCGAGACCCGGCTGCTCCACTTCTGATCCAGATCTCTGCTATGGCCTTAGAAAGCAGTGGAGGATGGCCCAAGTCCTTGGGCCCCTGCACGCACATGGGAAGACCCAGAAGAAGCTCCTGGCTCCTGGCTTTGGATCGGCACAGCTCCAGCCATTGCAGCCAACTGAGGAGTGACCCAGAGGATGGAAGACCTCTCTCTCTCTCTCTCTCTCTCTCTCTCTCTCTCTCTCTCTCTGCCTCTCCTTCTCTCTCTGTGTGGCTCTGATTTTCAAATAAATAAATAAAATCTTTAAAAAAAAGAAAGTAAATAAAACACAAAAATTGATAGAAAAAAAGAAAAATCAAAAGTCTGTTTTAAGTAGAAAAGTACATCACTGCACAGTGCAAATTCAGTGAACATGAGAGATAACCAATGCCACATATGTAGTGGCAACTATATATATATACACCTTAACTATGGGCTCAGTAGGTTCAGTTTGGGGTTCTGTTTATGGCATACCCTACAACTGAGTTTTCCCATCTTTATTCTATTTAACTCACAAGCATCATGTACACCGAGCATACCACTAGATATTTTGGGAGATCGTAAGACAGCTCTCAAGGAGCCTTCAATTTTGAGGAGGCTGTTTACCATGAAATAAGGGGAACAGTCGTAGAAACAAAATGTACACAGTAGCCACACGGCAAGAAGAAAGCAGTCATGATTCACTAGGCATCATTGTGTCAGGACCTTCACTAATCAATTAGTAGATCAGCAAAGTGCAAAGGAATTGAACTCTATGGCATGCCACTGAACCTAGGACACCAACGATGTCAGATGCATCTTTGCTGTGTGTAGTGACAAGTATAACTGTATGATATTACTGAGTGTAAGACACATCTTGATTTCATAGATGTTAAAATGTACCACTTAGGTTTTAGAACTTTAAATGCTTTTAAGAGAAAGAGAAAACTTTTAAAATCAATGATCAGAGCTCCCATCTTAAGAAGACAGGAAAAAGAACAAATTAAACCCCCCCAAAAAAGGAAGGAAGGAAATAATAAAGATAAAAGTAGAACCATAAAATATAAAAACTGAAAACAATAGAGAAAATCTGGCTCTTTGGAATATCAGTAAGATTGATAAACTTTTAGCGAGACAGGAAAAAAAGCACTGATGAGCAATATGAAAAAACAAACAAAGGAAAAAAACACAAAGCCTACAGACATTAAAATAGTAGTAAGTGGATAATAAGATAATATAAATAACACTATATCAACAATAATGATACATATTTTTATTTATTTATTTGAGAGTCAGAGATATAGACAAAGAGAGACACACACACAAAGACTGACAGAGAGCCCTCATCCACTGGTTCACTTCCCAGATGCCAACAACACCTGGGTCTGGGCTTAAGGCCAATGCCAGGAGCTGTGAAACCAATCCAGGTTTTCAACAGGGTTGCAGGAGACAGCTACTTGAGTCAACACCTGCTGCCTCCCAGGATCTGCACTGGCAGGAAGCTAGAATTGGGGGCTGGAGCTAGGAATCAAACCATGACACTACCACGTGTGATATGAGCATCTTACCTGCTAGGCCAAACAACTGCCCCATTATTCACAATAACTTAAAGCAGACAAATTCCTTGAAGAAAAAAAAAAAACTTCCAAAATGGAAACAAAACAAAACTGAAATGCTGACTCACTCTATATCTTTAAAAACTGCATTCATGGGGGCAGCATTGTAGCACAGGGGGACAAGTTGCCACTTGTGACACCAGCATCCTGTATCAGAGGGTTGGTTCTCATTCTCACTACTCTTCTTCTGATTCTCCTCCCTGCTAATGTGCCTGGGAGAGCAGCAGAGGAGGGCCCAAGTGCTTGGGCCCTGCACCCGCATGGAGACTCAGATGGAGTTCCAGACTCCTGGTTTCAGCCAGGACCCGCTCCAGCCATTGTGGCATCTGGGGACTGAACCAGCAGATGGAAGACCTTTCTGTCTCTTGCTCTCTAATTCTGCCTTTCAAATAAATAAGAAAGAAAAAAAAATGAGTTGAATTCATAAACTAACATTTTCTCACAAAGAAAACTACAGACCCTTACAACTTTACAGGTGAATTTCATGAAATATTTAAGAAGTTGGCCAACGCCATGGCTCACTAGGCTAATCCTTCGCCTTGCGGCGCCGGCACACCGGGTTCTAGTCCCGGTCGGGGCGCCGGATTCTGTCCCGGTTGCCCCTCTTCCAGGCCAGCTCTCTGCTGTGGCCAGGGAGTGCAGTGGAGGATGGCCCAAGTGCTTGGGCCCTGCACCCCATGGGAGACCAGGAGAAGTACCTGGCTCCTGCCATCGGATCAGCGCGGTGCACTGGCCACAGCGTGCCGGCCGCGGCGGCCATTGGAGGGTGAACCAACAGCAAAGGAAGACCTTTCTCTCTGTCTCTCTCTCTCATTGTCCACTCTGCCTGTCAAAAAAAAAAAAAAAAAGTCATGCCACTTCTACCTAAATTCCATCAGGAAACAGAGGAAGAGGGAACACTTATTAACACATGTAAAGAAGCCATCATTATCCTGATACCCAAACCAAACAAAGGCAATTCAAGAAAACCATAAAATCATATTCTTTATGGTCATAAAAGTAAAAATCTTTGTCTAAAACCTAGCAATTTGAAGAAAGTTAACAGGTCACAATCAAGTAAGACTATGCTGGTATTGCAAGGTTGGTTGAAAACCTGAAAAATCAACATGCTTCACTATATTAACAGAAAAAAAAAAGAATATATGATCATTTCAAAAAAGGGAGAGAAAATTTAATAAATCTTGATATTTACTCACAGCAAAAACTCTAAAATTAGAAACAGAAATGAACTTGCTTAGTTAATAAAGAGTGTATATATATATATTTATATATATACTTATATAGAAGAATATATATAGAAGAATATATAGAAGATACTACCACGTGTGCACAATATGAGCATCTTACCTGCTAGGCCAAACAACTGCCCCATTATTCACTATATATATATAAATATATATATACGTATATATATATATATATATATATATATATATATAAGAACCTACCTCCAACATCAGACAAAATGATAAAAGACTGAATGCTCTTCTCCTAACATTGAAAACAAGGTGTGGCAGCTCATGCTCACCACTGCTACTCAAAATTTTACTGGTATTACTAGCCAATGCAATAAGGCTGTAAAGTAACATATAAAGCATATAAATCAGAAAAAAAGTTCAGCTGTTTTCATTCACAGATCACATGATCATATATAGAGAAAATCCTAAGGAAACTACAAAAAAACTACTAGCACTATTAAGTTAACATAAGATTATAAGTTCAGTATATGAAAATCAATTGCATTTCTAATTCTAGATATCATCAGTAAACAAATGGAAAATGAATTTTAAAAATACCATTAATGGTCAACGCCGCGGCTCAATAGGCTAATCCTCCGCCTTGCAGTGCCGGCACACCGGGTTCTAGTCCCGGTTGGGGCGCCGGATTCTGTCCTGGTTGTCCCTCTTCCAGGCCAGCTCTCTGCTGTGGCCAGGGAGTGCAGTGGAGGATGGCCCAAGTGCTTGGGCTCTGCACCCCATGGGAGACCAGGATAAGCATCTGGCTCCTGCCTTCGGATCAGCGCAGTGCGCCGGCCGCGGCAGCCATTGTAGGCTGAACCAATGGCAAAGGAAGACCTTTCTCTCTGTCTCTCTCTCTCTCACTGTCCACTCTGCCTGTAAATAAATAAATAAATAAATTAAAATAAAATAAAATAAAATAATACCATTAACAACAGTAAGGAAAATTAAGTACTTAGTGATACATGTAACAAAATGTGTAAAATATATGTAAATATAAATCACTGAGAAAAATTAAATATCAATAATATCTAAACAAATGGAGAGATATAGAGTGTTCATGAATTAGAAGACTCAATAGTGAAGAGAAAAGCAGAATTTGAAGCACTATATAACCAGTGGTGAGTTTACTGTTTTTCTTCCTTTTGTACCTTGGCCTGGAGAGAAACCTGGAAATGGAGATTGGCACAGAGAGACCTCCGGAAGTCCTCTCATTCACACTCAGTTAGAGGAAAGGAATTATCAGCTAGTGGCAGGGGTTGCCTTGGAGAGCTGGCAGACACCAAAGGTATCCTTCGTCTCTGTCTGTAAGAGGTGTGATCTCAGAGGCTTCTGTAAGTACCCACAGCTTGTCCCTGGACATGGGTGCCATCACAGAAAGCACACAGCAGAACAGGTAAGTATTAACTCATCTTCCCAGAGGACTAAAAAGGGATGTGGTAAGGAACTGGAAAGCAGGTAAGAAATTATGGAGAGGAAGGGGCTTAGCAGAGCAAGCCCCCAAAATTAGTTATGATCTCCCAGTTTATTCACAAGCTGCCCACGTACAAGGATTTATCTTATGCAGCATACTAAAGACATAACCGAACTAACAGACTACCACTCAAGTCCCAGCATGACCACTAGGTGGCAGATGGCTGGAACAGATCAGAATGGCATTGCCATTAAAACTATATCCATGGATGGTTACTTGGAACTTTCTGCCTGAACTAAAGTGGGTCAACTGCCTAAAACAAAAATATCAACATTCTGCACAGGATTTAAATACAATCCTGAGTGTTACAGAATATATTAAAACTTTCTAGAGTACAATAAAGTACTTGGCACACAGATTTAGAAAAAAGATCAACTTGTATGGAAAAAATAACCGCTGTCAACAGCAAGATGACATGGATGCTGCAATTATCTAGTTAGTTCTTTGTTAGACATCATAAATGCTCCAACAATTACAGATGAATGCACTTAAGTCATTGGAAAGACACAAATCTCATCAAAAGAATAAAAGATAAAAAAGAAGAAACAAAAAATCATCTTCAAAGTGAAATATACAACTACCAAAACGAAAATCACAAAGCAACATCAACAAAAACCAAATCTCACCAAACAGGCTTAATAAAAGGATGGAGATGGCAGAGGAAAAAATTCAATAAACTTGAGGATAATTAAAGAGAAATTATCCAGTCTGAACAACAAAGAGAAAAAAATGATTGAAAAAAAATTAAAAGAGCCTCTGAGGCTATGAGACAGCTAAGGATACACTATTCGTGTCATCAGAGACCCAGAGGAAACTCTATAAAAGGAAAGATGTCTGGAGAAATAATGGTCAAGATGGTCTCAAATTTGGCAAAAGCCATAAAACTAAAGATTCAAGAAGCTCAGAGAACCCCAAGCAGGATAAATCCAAGTATTATAACAAAACTGCTGGACAATAAATACAGAGGCAAAATACTGAAAGCATTTACTAGAAAAATGGCACATCACTCGGAGGGGGAACAATGGTTTAAGTGACTGTGAATCTCTCACCAGAAATCATGAAGGCCAAAGTGAAATGGAACTACTTTAACTAGAATGTATAAAGATGTCTCAAAATTGAGTAAGAAGACAAACAACCCCATTTAAAACAGAGGGAAAAGATCTGAACAGACAGTTTTTTAAAAGTTAAACAAATGTCCAAAAACCACATGAAAATATGCTCAACATGAAAAGATGTTGCTGACACAAATGAAAACCCACAGCTGAATACTGCTGCACACCCTCTGGAATACACACTGACAATACCCAGAATTTTCTTTGCTTGTTATGAGCGAAGTTACTGCGAAGATTTTATTCCAAGGGATGTGTTGCAATAAAATTATCCTACTGCAGTTTTGAAAAAGAAACAGTCTCCCAAAATCATTCTCTTGCTGAAAGGAGAAAACATTCAGAGTTTTCTCTCTCTAGATGCTGAGATGAGAGTCTGTATTTTGATCAGAGCCTTCAAAAGCGATACTATTTTCTTGCATAAAGCAAGAAAATGGACTCAACGGAAGAAGTCTTTTCAGTCTTTCTCATGTCTTTGCAAATATTCAAAAAGTTTTTAAAGAGGAATAAAGTACCACATTAATCTTTCGTGTATTCTTATATGTGTTTAGAAAATAGTCAACTAAAAGAAAAACTCCTAAATATGAATCATTTTTCCTTCCTGGTATTTGAGTGAAAAGATAAAATCTTCCAACAACACAAAGAACAGAATTAAGCTCCCTCACATGCATGAGCATGCTAGCCAGCCCACACTTCCTCTAGATCAGTGATTCTCAATCAACAATGATTTGGCCCAACCGTGGGACATCTGGCAATGTCTGAAGGCATCTTCACTATTATAACTGGGAGCTTGCTTCTGGCATGTCATGTGTAGAGGGCCAGGGATGTGCCATAACACACAGTACCCGACAAGAAAGACCTGTCAGACTACAGAGAGCAACAGTGCCAAAGCTGAGAAAGTATCACCTAGAATTAAAGGTTCCCATGTAATTAAGACAAAACAGAAGATGGGTTCATATTCTTTTTTCCCTTTCCCCCCAAATCTAAAATCAGAAGGAAACAGAGTATGGCAATACTGCCATAGTTCTTACATAAGGCACCATTTGGAAGGAAACAGGATAGAGAAAACTTAAAGAATTTCAGGTAACTAAGTTCCTAGGTGGAAAACTCAGGCATTTTCATTTTGACTGCAGTCAGTATTCTCATCTGTGATGAGTTTTAACTATCCAGGCAGACGGGTGAATAGAACATTGCCTATACACCATCAGGGGTAAAATTTCCCTAGAGCTAAATCAGTTTTGGATATGAGACTCCCAGTGGCTTTACTAAGCAAAACTCTAGCAGACATTTTTAATGAGGGTCAGAGTTGAAACCTGACGTATGTCCAGCAGAGCTGGGTGGGCCTGGTCATTATAGATAACATTCTAACATAATAAGCCAATGGAACTATTTCAGCATCAAAGAGACAAACCATACAGGGCCAGGGAACAGACACTACAAAAGGAGGGAAGATACCAGAAGAAGATAATTTTCTATTCCGTCTATAACTATATATTTGCAATACAGTATAATCGTTATTAAAATGAACAGTTGTGTATCCATTTCCAAACACACAAAAACCAAACTGTTCCATCTAAATATTTTAAGAGTATATTTGGTGGCCAAGTTTGTTGAAAAGACTTTTCCTTGAGGACTACTGATACTTAGGCTAAATCATCATTGGGCACTGCTGGTCTTTCTGGTGTACAATTCTTGTAGCACAGTTCTCAACAGAGACCTCCTAGCAAAATTCCCATAGACAAATACTAACCACCAATCTGTGATAAAAATCTCTTCTTTTGCCTCTTCCATTGCATTTGCCACATCTTCAAAATATCCCTTGGCATTAACATACCTAAAAGACACAAACATGAACCTTCTTAGGACAACACAAAATGGCCCTAGAATCTCCACATCACCCTCAGTTTACTTTATATAAGTGGAAAACAAGGATGGAAAATACCACTGCACTAGTCTATTTTTTTCTGTTGCTGTAACAAAGCACCTGAGGCAGGCTAACTTTATAGAGAGTTCACAGTTTGGAAGCTGAAAATCCAAACAGCGTAGCACTTGCAATGGCAAGGGCCCGATGGCAATCAGTGGGAACACAAGTTGGGAAAGAGATCATATCTCAACGCAGGAAGCCAGAGGGACACTGGCAGGGGCCAGGCTCAGGCTTTCATAATAATCTTCTCAACAACTAACCGGGGTCCCAGGAAAAATACTTTAATTCCTTTCAAGGGCATACCGCTAAGTGACTAACAACTCCATGTTTTAAGGTTCCATTTCACCTCTCAGTATTGCCACCCTGTGGAACAGGCTCTCAGGACACAAACTTTTGGAAGGACAATGTCGAAACCATAATAATCTCCTTCCATTTGCTACCTAGGAGGGGCAGTAAGTAGACAGAAAAAAAAAAGCAACCTGATTCCTCTCTGCTTAGAGAACAATGGCTTACCTTAGCCTCATCATCATTTGGGGCAAGATAAATTCTGCTATCCTACTTAATTCACACACCATGGGGCCAGCACTGTGGTGCAGGAGGTTAAGCCTCTGTGGTGCCAGTATTCCAGTTCTAGTCCCGGCTGCTCCATTTCCAATCCAGCTCCCTGCTACGGCCTGGGAAAGCAGCAGAAGACGCCCAAGTGCTTGGGCCTTGTACTCTCATAGGACACTCAGAAGAAGCTCCTGGTCTTTTGGCTTCAGTTTGGTCCAGTTTCAGCCATTATGACCATTTGGAGAGTGAACTAGCAGATGAAAGACTTCTCTCTATCTCTCCCTCTGTAACTCTGGCTTTCAAATAAATATATAAATCTTTAAAAGAAAATCAGGTTTGGGGCTGGTGGTGTGTCATAGCGGGTGAAGCTACCATCTGCAGTACCAGCATCCCGTATAGGTGTCAGTTCAAGTCCTGATGCTCCACTTTCGATCCAGCTCTCTGTTATGGCCTAGAAAAGGAGCACCCATGTGGGAGATCCAAAGGAAGCTCCTGGCTTTGGATCGGTCCAGCTCTGGCCATTGCGGCCATTTGGGGAGTGAACCAATGGATGGATGACCTCTCTCTCTCTCTGCCTCTGCCTCTTTGTAACTCTGTCTTTCAAATAAATAAATCTTTTTAAAAAAGAAAAAAAGAAAAAGAAAGAATAAAAGAAAATCAGGGGCTGGCGCTGAGGCATAGCGGATAAGGCCACCGCCTGCAGTGCCAGCATCCCATATGGGCGCTTGTTCAAGTCCTGGCTGCTCCATTTCCAATCCAGCTCTCTGCTGTGGCCTGGGAAAACAGTAGAAGATGACCCAAGTCCTTGGGCCCCTCCATTGGCGTGGGAGACTCAGAGGAGGCTCCCAGATCCTGGCTTCGGATCAGGACAGCTCTGGCAGTTGCAGCCATCTAGGGAGTGAACTAGCAGATGAAGTCTCTCTTTCTCTCTGTCTCTGTCTCTCTCTCTGTCTCTGCCTCTCTGTAACTCTGCCTTTCAAAGAAATAAATAAATCTTTAAAACAAAAGAAAATCACACAATGTTTTTCTTCTCAGACTGAAAACAGAACAAAATTTCTAATCCATGAATAGAAAAACATGCTAAGCATGAATTTATTTTAAAATATCCAGCAAATAAATGTTTTCCTTAAATTAGGCTACTGACTTAAACCTTCCATTTACGTCATTAAGAAAATCTATCAAGTCAGCTTAAAAATCAGACTTCAAAAACTAGAGCCAGCTATTCTCATTGTTAAAAGCAAGCATTAGAAAACCAAGCTACAGGGGTCAGCTCTGTCACTTAGTGGGTCCAGATCCTGGATGCTCCAATTCCAATCCAGCTCCCTGCTAATGGGCCTGTGAAGGAGTGGAAGATGGCTCAAGGGGTTGTGTCTCTACCTCCCATGTGAAACCAGGACTGAGTTTCTGGTTCTTGGCTTTGGCCTGATCCAGACCTGGCTATTGTGGCCATTTGGGGAGTGAACCAGCAGATAGAGGATTCTCTCTCTCTCTCTCTCTCTCTCTCTCTCTCTCTCCCTTTCTCTCTGTAGCTCTACCTTTTAAATAAATAAATAAATATTTAAAAAAGAAAACTAAGCTACAGCAAGTTAGTCTACAATTAATTCAGAGAGGCCTTTGATGAGTATTGTGCATAATATATTTACACAGTTTTGAAACCTGATTCCAGATGAATTAGACTACCAGCATATTATTATACGCTAGGACTATCTTGCCAGGCTCAAGTTTAAAAAAAAAAAATCTTACCATTTAGCTAAAGTGTTATCTTGGATAGCAGCATAAGACCCAAATCGATGGTCTTTGAGAAAGTTGGTGCCATGTTTCTGGATGAATTCCTCTATAGCCCCTCCCCACCACCGAGCATGTCTGTAGCTGTTGCATTTTAAAATAAGTGTCCTTTAAAAGAAAAGCAAAATGCAGAAAAGAAGGGTCATTCTGTGTTCTATCTGCTCAAACAGCTTACAAAATTGAACATTCCCTGTTTTCTTTGATACTGTAGCAAACATAAATTGAAAAGTTTAGCCAAGGAACATCACAAATGAGGCTCTTAAACATTTTTGGTAGGATTTCTAAAATAATCAACACATCAGAGAAAACACTGAGGTTGCTTACTCACTTATTCACTCATGCAAACACACACAGACACACTTACTACAGACCTGGAGCTTTGCTGTTCTGTGAGGACCATAGTGAGAGAAGCTGCAGGCGCGGCCTCCCGTTGCAGTGCTGGTTAGACAACCGTGGCCCCTCCAGAGGACAGCTCCTACGTGCCGCCCTCTGTCTATTCCCTGCCTCTTTGGAAACAGCACCCTGACTGTGCATTTAGGAAGTCATCCCATCTCTTCCCTTCCCTTCCACAAAAGCTAAACAAAACAGCACTCTCCATCCTCTGGTCCCAGAAAGTGGGATCATGCATGCACGAGCCATTTCCACCCAATGCATGAAGATAATCTGAGGACTTGCTCAGGAGTGCACCGGAGAGACTCCGCCTTCCACTGAACTTGGTGTGAGGACGGGGGGCAGCTTTCTTACCACCGTGAAGGGACCAACGTGAGGATAAAGCTGAGCCCCAGAGCACAGAGCCGAGGAAAGCAGGTGAACACCGTCTCAACGACAGCATGGATCTCAGAATCACCAGGCCCAACGTGGCTGACTCACTCTCTGGTATAAATCAGTTTGCATTGGACTTTAATGTCACTTATGACTAAACTCTAAACTGCTAAGGGTTTATAAATGTTGAAAACAAAAGAGAACAGGTGACAGAAAATGTTTTTGATGTGGAATATCAGAATTGGTGACAACAACCAAAAGTTGAAAAATAAGGAACCCAGATTTGAAGATCAAAGGAAAATAAGGTCATTCAGGCAGAAACCAACCATCAGAGCCATAAATAAGGGGAGGACAGGGAATGAGAAGGGAGAGCACGCTGTGTCGGGGAAATACAATGATCCTTCTAGAGCAGCAAAGAGGCTATGTTCACAGATTCCAAAACAGCTGTTGTTGAAGATTAGGGACGTCCTAACCACTCCCATCAATATGTCTCATACTGACATACTGTACGCTACTGCACCCTCAGAGCAGCGGATGCTGCTGGGGCTGGAGACAGGAGGTGAAACAGAGGGGCTGGGAGGACTGAAACACCCTCCACCGGGTGTGACCAAAGAGACAGGAGCTACTGGGGCAGGGGCAGAAGGGCACTGAAAGTGCCTGCACTTCCGCTATCATGCAGAAGGGAGGAAAAGATGGTTTTGGGGAAGACATGGACAAGCAAAGACCTTGTCACAGGATCTGCATCAGAATTAAGGGGGCAGAGGGAAGAATCACAAACATGGGTGCAGGAAGAGCAAAGGTGGAGAGGCAAGGAGAAACCCAGTGAGAAGGACTGATGGGTAGAGACACCTGCTTCCCTGACCCACAAGAGACAGTGCCAGGGAGGGGTTGCAAAGAATGGCGGAGAGATGAAGGCCTCCTGCTACAAATGAAGAGATGGGATGTATTTAAAAAAACAGTAGGGAGCTCTTCTACCAGGGAGGAAGAGCATGAAACCTGGACTGAATGGACTGACTTGGCCATGGTGCCCAAGTGAGAGAGAGTGAAAGTAGAAATAAGGCAGCTAAAAGTGTCCGTTACACGGGTCAGTGAACACTGGGGGTGGGCTTCCTTGGTCCACTGGAAAATACGAATGCAGTAATAGGAGGAAGCTTTGATGGTAGTGCCATTGTATTTCCAATAATAATCCTGTATATTCCATTCTTAGAGAGTAACAGGGAGTTCAGTCCTATCCCAGATCCATTAAAAAGGCTTGAGCATCTATGTTTTTAACTCAACTCTAAGTATACAGTAACTCATGCATACACATACCCCCCCCCACATATCTGTATTTGTAGGGGTATACAAATGTCAGTAAATGCATATAAAGATGTATACACACACACACACACACACACACACACACACAAGGGTAAATTATACAGAGACAAATGTATGTATACAAGGGTACTACAAAAACTTCATGGGCAATGAAATTAAAAGATGCTTCTTTTGGTGTAAAAATGTTTGAAATTCATGCATAGAGGAAGTCTTTAAGACATTCAATGAAATATATATTATTGAAAACTATGCATGACTGGCAAACATTCTGTTTCCACCAAAATAAACTTATCTTGGAGCTCAATTTTTTCACAAACTTTCTGAAGTGCCCTCATATATAAAACCACACAGCTGTAATATTGTAGGATGAGACATATACAAGGCTATCGACACACACACCCACTTATAAAATATAGAATGAAAGGACACTTGAGTATCTTTCCAAGATGTCTTTTTAAAAATATGTATGCAGGTTCTGAAAATAAAATTATCCTTCAGGAGTTTTGTTAATGAACACACTGAATTGAAAAGATTTTTATTCTGACTCTATTACATATAGGATATTCTATATCTATATATAGATACATATTACATATATGATATTCTATTCTTAAAAATGTGTACAAGGAAGTATTCCTTACTTTTGACTGAGCATGACTTCTAAGTAAGAACTCTGTAGCATCTAAATTACTTTACCTCCTTCACTTAAGGTTGAGAGGAAAACTTTATTTCTGAGAGATCATGGAAGAAATGCCGTTTAAATATTTGAAATTTCTACCTTGAAAGATTATCGATTCGGAGTCCATACTTTGTTTCCGTCTCCTTTCTCCCCACCTTAATTCTGAATTCTTTATCCACCAGCAGGACAAAGGCAATAGCCCCACTGTCTGGTTTCATATAGAGTAAAAAGGAATCTTTCACAATTAGCCACCTGTTAGAAGATAGTAAGGATTTTTTTAAAAGTTGAATTGAATTACCAAAACAAACAAAAAGATGATAAATCTTAAGTATACACTCTAGCAGACTATAGTCATAATTTCATTCTTTTACATAGAGGATTTATTTTTAAAACATCACTATGAAACAAAAACTCAAACAAAGACATCCTATTATGTTTTTTCTAAGAAGTACTGGCACCATGCAATTCGAAGTAATTCACTAGCTCTTTAAACACTAATGGCAAAACCTGGAAGAATGTCCTTGACTTTGACAGGCAGCACTTGCAGAATGTGCATGGAGGCCCAGCTATCAGAAGAATGGAATGCGCTGATGTTTATTAGAATAAACCAGCGTGAAAGAGACAAATAAATCCACCAGTAAGTACGATCACCCTTTAAAGGAGCCACTGATGTTCTTTTCAAATCATTTGTGGTTTAAAAGAACTTTAATAAATGATGCTCAATGGGACGTGGGCATTTCTCAAAAGTATTTCCATTCAATTAAAAACAAATGTCAGAGCCTCAAAATGACAAAAGTACAGCGGTAAGCTGAGGGTCAGAACAGGGAACAGTGCAAAGATAAAGTGGATGTAGATGTTCTCAAAGGAGCGTACAAGGCTAGTGGGGGTACAAACGGTGACTGCAGGACAGAGACGACAGGTACTAGAAAAGCAGAGCAAAAGGCAGTGGTGCAAGAAGACGGAGTGCCTAGCACTACCCAAGAGCCATGGCACTTTCCTGAAGAAGTATCTTCTGAGCATGGCCAGGAAGGATCCCAGCGAGGACAGCCCACAGTGAGGGGGACCAGGGCGTACACCCACCCGGGGGGAAGAGCTGGCATGGGTTCTTAGGTGTGAAATCCTGCATGTGCTGGAGGAGCAGTCGGTGTGGCCACAGTCCTGGGGCACATGGGAAGAAATGCAGAGGCAACAGCCACGCTAAGGAAGGTCTGAAAGCCAGACCACAAGGGTTGGTTTTATGTCATGGACCCAAGCTTGTATTATCCTCAGCTTGCCTGACACTCAGCATCTACGGGGATGCTTGTGAAAAGTAAGATTCATGGGCCCTACCCCAGATCCATTAAAAAGGCTTCAGAATCTGTGTTGCTTTTATTTTGTAAAGCAAAACAAGACAAAAAGCAAGGTGCTTATTAAATAAGGGACTCTCATGCCCTGGCAAGGTAAAAGGACAATAATAGGAGGGAACATCAAAAAAGCTTGTAGAAAATGAAATCAAAAGATGTTTATTTTGGTGCAAAGATTTTGAAATGCAAACTTTCAAGGTGTCATCAAAAAGCTCACTGGGAAAAGAGTATTATAAAAAAAGTACTCAAGGATTTCAAAAGTTTTTGGCACCAAAATGAACTTACCTTTTAACTCCATTTACCATGAATTTTTTGAAGTGTCTTCTCATCATCGTTTTTTGAAGTATCTTCATTTTCCATGAATTTTTTGAAGTATCATATTTCAGAAGGGCAGATATGAAGAGAGGGGTGTGGTGTGGCAGGTCAGCAAGTGACTGCAATAAAGCAGTGGCTCTTCTCATACTTTATTATCATGTTTAAAATTGATTGACATTCTATTTATTTGAGAGGCATTCAGAAAGAGAATTCCTATCTGCTGATACATTCCCCTAATGCCTGTAACAGCCAGGGCAGGGCCGAGCTGAAGCCAGAGCCTGGAATTTGATCCAGGTTTCCCACCTGGTGGCATCCAATTACTTGAGCCATCATCTGCTGCCTCCCAGGGAGCAAGAAGTTGGAGGTGGGGGCAGAGCTCGCTAGGGTAACTGCTGGGTCAAAAGCCTGCCTATCTTCTGATCCTGACAAAGTGCAGATTCTCAGGCACTGTAGCAGTGCCCGGGATTCTGCACTTTCAACAAGTTTAAAGGTGATGGCCATGCTAGGACCACATCCTAAGAAGTCAGGAGGCAGAAAATGGGCATGACACTGACAACAGGAAGAGCAAGAGGCAGGACGCTCTCATGTTGTGTAACACCAGGTACACAATAATCAGTGGAAAATGGAATTAAAGGGTAAGTTCTTTCTGATGCACAATATTGTCAATTTCCATACATTTGAGGGGTCTTCAAAAAAAACTTGTGGAAAATGTACATTATGAAATAACTATGTGGGGCTGGTGCTGTGGCACAGTAGGTTAATCTTCTGCCTACAGCATGGCCTCCCATATGGGTGTTGGTTTGAGTCCTGGCTGCTCCTCTTCCGATCCAGCTCTCTACTATGGCCTGGGAAAGCAGTGGGAGATTGCCAAAGTGCTTGGGCACCTACACCTGTGTTGGAGACCCAACGAAGCTCCTGGCTTCTGATTGGTGCAGCTATGGCCATTGTAACCATTTAGGGAGTAAACCAGCAGATGGAAGACTTTTCTGTCTCTCCTGCTCACTGTCTGTACTCTACCTCTCAAATAAGTAAATCTTAAAAAAAAAAGAAATAACTATGCAAGAACTTCAAAATTTTTGTGCCAAAAATGAACTTTTAGTTCTATTTTCCATGAACCTTTTAAACTACCCTTATATTCATATTTATCTGTAATTGTTTAGTGATCAAATGACAGTCAGTAACTGAATAAAGTAGCAATGGTTATAATATCATATATTGGACAAAATAAAGCACTTGGGATGATTCCATATTATGGGACAGATAAGGTTAGAACACTTGAATATAAATTATGTAATACAGTAGCATGGGAACTTGGCCTTTAAAATATTTTATGAGAGGAACCGGTGCTGTGGGTAGTAGGATTAGCCTTCACCTGAAATGCCGGCATCCTACATGGGCTCTGGTTTGAGTCCTGGCTGCCTCTCTTCTGACCCAGCTCTCTGCTAATAGCCTGGGAAGGCAGTAGAAGATGGCCCAAGTCCTTGGGCTCCTGCACCTGTATAGGAGACCAGGAAGAAGCCCCTGGCTCTTAGTTTGAATTGGCCCAGCTCTGCCATTGCAGCCATTTGGGGAGTGAACCAGAAGATGGAAGACCTCTCTCTCTGTCTCTTTCTCTCTCTGTAACTTTGCCTCTCAAATAAATAAATGTTTAAAAATATATTTTATGAAAAATATTTACTGAAGTTGCCAATCACACGTTGTAGTGGCTTTTTTGGGATTCAATGTAAACAAATCTGCATTGATTTCTACAGTTTCATTTATTTTTTAATAAATTTAAATTATTTTTCAGTAAAAGGCATGCATGTGAGATAGTTGTATAAAAGGAGAAACATCAATGTCACAGAAAGCAAATGCCTATCTATGAAGGCATCAAGGTCACAGACAGCAAATGCCTAACTATGTAAGGAAAGAGGTGGCATGACAAAGTGAGTCTGACTTCCCTGGCTTACTCTTAGTGAATGAGTAAATGAAAGAATAAAAGGGGTCCACAGCCAAACTACCTTCCAAAGGAAGTTTCTCACTGGGGGCCTAACAAACATTAAGACAACTGAATAATACAGTGGATAATAGTCTCAAAACAGTATTTAGTACATGCAGAAATCATGCATTTTATCTAACACTCAATACAGCCATGATATCAAGGGTGACTCATGACTCCAATGGGGCTCAGTTATGAGTTCAGAGATACAGTTATCTACTCAAAACATGGTTACGCTAAAAGAGATTAGATGGATCACATGTCTGTTGAAGTTCTGTCTTCAGCAAGCTAGAGACAGTGCGGCACAGGAGCAGCTGTTTGGCACAGGTGTGCTCTGTTGCTGACCAGGAAGGAGTCGCAGGCTTGCAAAACTATAGCTGACAGAGCCAACAACCTAAGAAAGTCAAATCACCCAGACTGCTGAGTTTGCCTGCCTGGAAGGCAAGGATACCCGAATGACATCAGAGCTAGCCCTCACCAGAGCTGCACACCAGAGGCGACAGTGTGGGATGCCAGTAAAATGACCCACATCCAGGTGTAACAAGCACCCACCATTCACCTTAGAATGTGAAAAAAGCTCTTTAGAGCCCAGGCTCGTGGCTTAACCCTGGGAACATGGGTTGCAAAACCCACCCTGAGGAATAGGTCACCAGGTACCACTGTGCATTTGACTCTGGTGCAAGCTGCATCACCCTGTAAGAATGGCTCCCTTCCTTAATTTGCACAGAGGCTGCGTCGGCTGTGGTCTTGTCCAACAGCAATGAGATGGCAGGGCCGGTGTTTGGGCGTTGAGGTAAACTACCACCTGCAATGCCGGCATCCAATGAGAGTGCTGATTCATGTCCCAGCTGCTCCACTTCTGATCCAGCTCCCTGCTAATGGCTTGGGAAAAGTCGTGGACGATGGCCCAAGTGTTTGGGCCCATGACACCTGCATGGGAGACCCAAATCAAGCACCTGGCTCTGCCCTGGCCCAGGGCTGGCTCTGGTGGCCATCTGGAGGACTGAACCCTCTCGCTTTTTAATAATGCCTTTCAAAATAAATAGATACATCTTGAAAGAAAGAAAGAGGGGGCGGGAAGGGGGGAGGAGGAGGAGGGGGAAGAGGAGGGGGAGGAGGAGGGGGAGGAGGGGGAGGGGGAGGGAGAGGAGGAGGGGGAGGGGGAGGGAGAGGAGGAGGAGGAGGAGGAGGAGGAGGGGGAGGAGATCCCCCGGGAGTGTCATTCATGCTTTATCCTATGTGGAAGGTTCTTCCTCTGCTCTGCCACATGTGGGCTCCTGGAAATATGCAACTGCTCCCCGCAGACTGCTAGATTTTGAAAGCTGACGCAAAGGTAAAGGTTTCTGTTTTGATAGGGATGAAGTGTACTTGTAATTGCCCTTAAATACCAGAACAGACTGACTTCTGGCCTTTATTTAAAGCTCTTCCTAATCAAGCCTTCCTTAAAATTTATCTGAATTCTTTCCTTTCTATTTTTTTTGTCAACAGAGAAATGGGGGTATGTGATGGTGAGAGAGAGAGAGAGAGAGAGAGAGAGAGATCTCACTTGCTGATGCACTCCCCAGATGTCTGCAACAGACTAGGCCAGGGCAAAGCCAGGAGCTAGGAGCTCAATCAAGGTCTCCCATGGGTGGCAGGGACCCATCTACTTGAGCTCTCACCTGCCGCCTCTCAGGGTCTGCATTAGCAAGCTGGAGTCACGAGTCAGAGCTAGGACCTGCATCCGGGCACTCTGAGATGAGATGCGGGGATCTTAACTGGCATCTTAACTACCAGGCCAAGCTTCCCCACCTAGTAAGTTCTTAAAACAGGAAGATACACATCAAGGAGAAATTCAACAAAAGGATGAGGTGCCTGTCCTCAGGTCAGCCCCTCTGGGCTCCAACTCCAGGTCCCTCCTTGTCGTCTAGCCTCTCCTCTCCACCCATGTCCTGACCTCCAAGCTAGTTCCACTCTGGGGCTCTGTGTTTGCTGTTCCTCTGCCGAGAAGTGATTCCTTCCAGACCCTACCATAGACAGCCCACATCATCCATCCAACTTCCCTTTCTAGGAAGGCTACTCCAGCTAAACCTGTCACCCTCAAGCCTCCCCACCCCAACCCCGTCTCCACTCCATAAAGCTGCTCTGTTTTAGCTTCTTTGTAGTGGAAGTATTTACAGGTCTCCTCATTCACTGTCCCCTGCACTGGGGGTAAGAGACAGGGGATATAACTGTCTTGTCCACTGCTAACTGTCCAGTGCCTACAATAATCCCCTATCAGCCCAGTACAAGCCTTCAGGCAAAGCAACCACTCTGCCTAAATCACAATGCAAAGAATGGGTCCCAACAAGTAAATGAAGCCATTTCAACATGGTCACTACCTAAAAATTTTACTTTACTGGAACAGTTCATAGTAAACACAGAATTTACTTCTCAACATGTAGACATCTCGTTCTCTTAGACATTATCTGAGAAGAGAAACAATGTCTAGCCTACTACCAGGTTCAGAGAAGGTGTTCAGTAAGCCTGTTATTTACATAGATGTTGTACATTATGAGAAGAGATGTGTACTGTGGTCGTCTTGTTCTCCCGTTTTTTTTTTTTTTCACTTGTCTCCCAGATAAGGTCATTACAAAACGAGTGAAAGCGGAATCCTCCTATTTACCTTTTCTCAATTTATTAAAACAGAATAAACAAGAAAGTGATCAGAATTTTTTTAATAGGTTCAAACAACAGCAGAAGAGAGGGGTGGGTATGTAGCCTAACAGTGAAAAGTTCGGATGCTGAACCCCACGTCAGAGGGCCTGGGTTGGATCCCCTGCCCGTGCTCCTGACCCCAGCTTCCTGCTAATGCAGATCCGGGGGGCAGGGGTGAGGGCTCAGGTAATTAAATCCCTGCCACCCACCCTGTGAGGTAGGACTGTGCTGGGCTCCTGGCTTTAGCATCAGTTCCCGGGGGCATTTGGAGAGTGAACTAGCCAACCAGAACATTCTATAAGTCTCTCTCTCTCTGCTCATCTCTTCTACCTCTCAAAAAATATGTTTCTAAAGTATGAACAAGTGTCACCTTTAAAAGTAACTCCCGTTTAGACACCAGTAGTCTTCTTCTGTGAGAAACTTTCTAAACTAATTTTGTCAGTTACACTTTATCATCTATATTCGATGTCTGATATTTTAAATCCCACAGATATGACTCAGGAAATACTTATTAATATGGAGCCACAGCTTTAATCTGCACAGGAAGATTTACACAACTTAAAATGATGACACATTTCATTTCGGGCAGGATCGTATCTTTTTAGATTGTCCCGGTTGAAGCATGATGTAACCAAGGTTAAATAAAGAGGAAGCACAGTTCTTTTATGTAACAGTCCTGCCCACTGTCCCTGGCCTCTGCTTCTCATAGAGGCTGTAACTCAAAAGTCACTTCTTCAGGGAGCTTTTCCTTCAGTCCCGGAGCTACTAAAGTCCCCCTCTGCATGTCCCCAAACCCTCACTATATCAGAGCCTTTTTTCTCCTTCAACGCTCTTATTGATTACGATATAGACTTGCCAGCCGATTTCTGCCTGCATTTCCTGCAATACTCAGAGCTCCGTGGGGCAGGGGCTTTGTCCTGTTCACCACTGTCTTCCCAGCAGCTAGAACACAACCTGAGTAGAAGCCTTAGTGTCAGTTGCCCCAAACTGTGAGACAAAGGCACTTCGTAGGGAGGTGGTGCCAGGAAGGACAGCAAGGGAGAGCAAGGAAGAGAGCCATAAAGGATGTACCCTCATGCTCTTTATAATGGGCAAAAGGGCCATGAGCCTGCTCACAGGCACAGGGAGCACCATGCCAACTGAGGTGAGTGAGAGCTGGACTCCTGACAGCTCTCAGCTGCTCCCGGGGCTGCCAAGGCTCCCAGGCTGCTCTGCACACAGGTGCTCTGGGTAAAGAGTCCCGAGTGCTGAAAGGTAAAGTCTGAAACTCCCCCTGCTTGGCATCTGGCCTGAGTATTCCGGGTTCTGTACTATTTGGGCTGACAAGATAGCGCAAATGGAGTCTCTCGATTTCCTCGATATCATTTACACTCTGAGTTTCTGCAAGTTAGAGGTTTATATCAAAGTGAGTACTTTTTTGAGTATATTACTTCCCTTTTTGCTCAATAAGTTCTAACAGAAAATTTCAATTTCTTTAAGTTTTACTTCCGATAGGGCTCGGAAGGTGCTTGTGATTTCCTCCATCCTTCCCAAGTCTAGTAACTTACTGGTGTTAAGGCTGCTACGCAGACATTAGCCTATGTGTGTAAGAGGGGTCGAGGAAAATGAGAAATTTTAAAGAAAACAGATTCATGTGCAATGGAACGAGGAAACAAGTCCTGAAAGCCAGACCCAGCCTCGCCTGACTCCCCCAGCCCAAGGTGTCCTTGCCTGTCCTTTGCCGAAGGGAACTCACTGAACTGAGAGAGGGCGGCAGCTGGCCCTCCTGGACTGAGGGAGTCATTTGCCTCTCCGATAGTAAGAACCCTGATAGCCCGTATGATCTGGACTGGTTTATTTAGGGGAATTCCATACCCAAAAATTCCCCACCCAGACTTTCCCAGAAGAGGGAGGAGGGGAGAAGAAACAGGGGACGCGTACTCGGGACGCAGATTCAGGCCCTTGAAAACCGGGGTCTGAGTGCAGACCGGGTTCCTAGTCCTTTACTGAGACGCCCGCATGGTCCAGCAGGTGTAGCGATTTCTGCTCTTCACTTTTTCCAATAAATGGTGCTAAGATTGCGTTCTCGGCTGCTCGTTCATTGCCCACATTCTTAGTCGCTGACAGAACAAGTTCCCGGGGTTCAAATCAACAGTAACAATTGTATTTCTAATCGGCAGTTTATTTTAAATAAATATGTTTAAAAGTAGACACTACTATTAATTTTATATACTTGAATATACACATAGTTCAATTCCATTATTTACATGAGGACATTTATTTTACAGTTGGAGAATATATCATATTCTTATGTAGATAAAAATATTGCTATCTGATTTCTTAATGGTGTCTAATATTTTTTTTTCAATTCCAGTACATTATCTTTTTTTTTTTTCAATTCCAGTACATTATCATTAGGACAAACAGCTATTGTCTATGATGTGCAAAATTTAAAAAAATATTGCCCCTCAAGGAATCTTTACTTGGCCAGGAATACAATATGAAATTAAAGTCCTCTAAATATATCATACTTATCATAATATATATTTTTCACAAATGAAAGTCTAATATTATCATCTTAGAAATCTGTTCAATTTTTCTTTTTATGTTTTTAAGTATATAGTTAAGTGGTTTTCAGCATATTTTGAAAGTAGCACTAATTCTAGAATATTAGAAATATTAGAAAGTAGTACTAATTCTAGAATATTCTCATTATCTCCCCTCCCAATTCCACATCCATTAGCAGAAGTTAATTAGCAAAAATAATCCTGGAAACCTATTTACTTCCACGTCTTCAGGTTTGTCTACTCTAAACATGGAAGCCTCTAAGAAGTTGCTTTTGTATCTGGTTTTGTTCACTTATGATGTTTCATCTGCATGGGAGCGTACATCAGTTCTTCATTACCCTTTTCATTAAAATCTTTGATTTTGATTCAGATGTAATTCAGATACACATAAAAATACAATTCCACAGTTTTTAGCACATTAATAAAATTGGCAACCATCGCTACCATCTAATTTCAGAAAATTTTCATCACTTCAAAAAGAATACTATATGGAAATACCATATTTTGTTCAGCCATTTATCAATTTATGGACATTTGAGTTGTTTCTACTTTTTAGGTTATCATAAATAATGCTGCTGTGATAAGTTTTGGGACTTTTTTTTTTTTAAAGTTCTCTTGGATGAATACCTAGGACTGGAATTTGGGGGCATAGGGTCACTCTATGTTTAACAATGTGAAAAAAAATACCAGACTGTTTGCAAAGTGGCTATACCATTTTACATTTCCATCAGCAATAGCTGAGGGCTCCAATTTCTCTTCACCCTCACCAACATTTGCTATTGTCCATCTTTTTAATTGCAGCCATCCCATTGGATATGAAGTTGTACCTCACTGTGGATTTGATCTACAATTCCCTAGTGGCTTGTAATGCTGTCATCTTCCCTTCTGCTTACTGGCCATCTCTGCCTATTCCTTGGCAGCTATACTGTTGAATACCAAGTCCACTGAGTTTTTATGGATATTAATTTGCATCCTCTGCCAACAACTCCCATATTGGGTAAACTACTTAAGTATATACAGTAACTTAGATTTTCAAAATATAATTTAAAATGTGCTCTGCCATAGTTTCTACAGGACTTATCATTTAAACCTGGTATGCAAAAACACCGCTCAATAGCCAGTGTATTAAAACAAACAAACACAAGAAAATTCCTAAGGCCTACCTTTTTGACCAGCGGTAGCAAGCTCGTCCGTGCCCACAGCAATTCAAACCTGGTATTCTGTGTCCTCCAGATCTTTTCATTATCATGCCTTCTCTGAAAGAAACATCAACTTAACCCATCGTTGCCAGATTTCCAGCTCAAATCTAGTTTGTATAGTCTTAATAACTTAGTACCAAATGAACTCGCTCACATATGATGTTCCTCCCTACTTTTTCCTCCTTCACTGTCAACTAGTTCAGCGTCATATTTGTTAGGCTGAATTCTATAATGGCTAACCTTAAACACTGTGGCCACATAGAGCTCTTTAGGCATCTGAGGCAGCATAACTGTGCTATGCATTAGCATCCTAGTGCCTGGCTCTAAATGCTAAGTGCTCCCCCAGTCATTGTGAACACCTAAGAAGATCCTGTGCAGAGATGGTGCAACAGCCACTGAGACCAGGGTGGGGCTCACCCACAGATGCTAGGGCTTCATATATAGTTCTAGCAACTAAACCATGCCCAAAGAGGTAAAGCAAAGTACACATAGTAAGCTACTGCTACTTCCACAGAAAGTAGCTTTGAAAGTAGTAATCTCTTAACTTTGAAACTGTAATGATTGAACAAAAGAGATTTTTAAAGAAACAACCACCAACAACGCATTTAAAGATCTAAAATTAAAATTTAAGCTCTTTATGTTATCAATCTCTAATATCGTGAAGAAAAATAATCATTAAGCTTCCATGTGTTACACATCATCTATTTACACAGTATTATTTTTAAAGTCATCAAGATTAGTGACAAATAGTTAACTTTTATAAATGATTAGAAGAAAGGACCTTCGTTATTTGACATTGAGAGCATTTTCACACATATCAAACTTCCTTGTGCATTGAACACTCCCCCTGCTGGGTTAGAGGAAATCTGGGCAGTAGATACATGACAGTAAACTAGTTGCTATCACTGTTTATTGTAAGAGATATCCTCTTGTAGTTAAGTGATTCCCCAAGCTGCCCTGATTCTATTGAGGAGAAAAACTAGCAGGAAAGCCAGGAGGTCCCATCACCCCAGCATGCCACTAAATCAAATATTAATGCTTAGTGGCTTTTCATACTTCTTTCTCAAGGTCCAATACTGAAACTTACATGCCCTTTGGTCCCAAATCATGGATGAAAGACAACTGGCTTATATCAAGGAATTCTGTCTGAAAACAAGAAAAAAAATTCACATATTAGAAAGCAGACAAATGAAATTTATGTATGCATTAAGAATGTGTATGAGATACTGGCATGTATAAACACTGGTACTCCGTGGTGGACGTGCAGATCAATAAACACAGTACTCTGAAGTGCTGATGAGAAGCATCAGTTAACACAACAATAAAGTGATACATACCCTATGATACAGAGACAAAATGTTCAACAAAGTCACAGAGGGTTTGTTTTTATTATGGGAGGAAGAGCTTTCGCAGTATGTGTGCAGAAAATACTAAGAGTACATGATAAGTGTGATGTTGGTGAAGGTTCTGCAAGATGGACCAGATTTGGCATGCAGAAATAGGGCATGAAGAGGAGAACAGAACAGAAGGTGTAAGAAGGAGATACAATGCGCAGCTGGGGTACGGTGAGTAAGGTGGAAAAGGTCATGGAAAATGATACAGCAAGCTAGGTTGCCAAGAGACTGGGGAGACATGTGAACACCAGGCATAACAAAAAATTATTTGTAATGAGTTCAAAGAGAGAGAATTCTAGGCCCACCTTCACTACATAGATTACTAGATGACTAAAAGCTATAACTATCGTAATATCAACAGCTGTGGCTAACATTTACTGAGTGTGTGTTGTGTGTTGACACTGAGTTGAGCATTTTCCATGCACTATCTAAAACCTTTTAGAAGTAGGTACCACTTTCCCATTATATAGAAAAGGAAACTGTGATTTATAGCATGCATGGACAGTTTTTTGGCAAAGAACCAGACAATAAGTATTTTGGAGTTTGTGAGCCATATAGGCTCCAGTCCTCCATTGTAGTATGAACACAGCCACAGATAATGCATAAATCAAATAATGTGGCTGTGTCCAATAAGACTTTATAGCTATAAAATATGAACAGAATTTATATATGGCACAAAATATTACAGTATTTTCATTTTTTTACCACTGAAAAACAAAAGCTCATCTTAGCTCATGAATATACAAAAACAGGTGGTCTGCTCAATTTGATACAGTTCACCAACCCCTGGTTTGAGAAATTCAGTTGTCCAAGTTTGTACAACTAGCAAGCGACGGATTAAAAATCAAGTTAGGCCAAATCAATCTTCTGAGAATTAAGCTGCAAAAGCAAACAGTCATCTACCATGTCTTCTACTCGAATGGAGTCTACTGCATACACTGGTTAGGGAAGGCCTAGATGCAAATGTGGAGGCACAGAGGGAAAAAGGAATCAGCAGAATGTAATGTTTCTATATATACAGGTTTTATCTCAAGCAATTCTTGAATCAACTGGAGTTAGACATTGTATTGTTCACAATTTATAGATTTTGTTTTAAAGCAGCCAACAGTTAAGTCCAGATGTAGCAACCTTCTTTAGAGCATGTCAATAACAAACTTGATAGAAAAAAAAAGAGAAACAGACATTCTCCAGCATCAGGAAGCAGACAGAGGAAGTCACACATGGAAAATATTCCGTCTCGACAGAATTTTGTGTGAAGGACCAGACCAGGTACACATGAGTGTAGTTACAGAGTGGTGGGGACGACACGCAGCATTTTTAGAAATAATAATTATTTTTAAAAATCAAGTTTTTAAAATTTATTTTACTCTATAAAACATGAGATTTAGTACAATGCATTTTTATAAATCTGATTTGTGGCAATGTATTCTAATTGGAAAATGTAGCAACCCATAGGCTATTAGAAATAACACTCAGGGCCAGCGTCGCGGCTCAATAGGCTAATCCTCCACCTAGTGGCGCTGGCACACCGGGTTCTAGTCCCGGACGGGGCGCCGGATTCTGTCCCGGTTGCCCCTCTTCCAGGCCAGCTCTCTGCTGTGGCCAGGGAGTGCAGTGGAGGATGGCCCAGGTGCTTGGGCCCTGCACCCCATGGGAGACCAGGAAAAGCACCTGGCTCCTGCCTTCGGATCAGCGCGGTGCACCGGCTGCAGCGCGCCAGCCATGGCGGCCATTGGAGGGTGAACCAACGGCAAAGGAAGACCTTTCTCTCTGTCTCTCTCTCTCTCACTGTCCACTCTGCCTGTCAAAATAAATAAATAAATAAATAAATAAATAACACTCAGACTATCAACCATACATAAAATCCAAAACATTTCAAAATGTCAAACCACAACTTTTCATTTTATTTCTAAACAGAGATAAAATGTTAGAGGGGGAATGTCAATCCCTGTTTACATTTGATGAATCTGCTTCAGAGGTGCAATTACTGTATGCAAAGTTACAGAATGAGTGGAAGAATAGGAAATGAAAACAAAAATCAAAGGAGCAAGTTTTCTAATACATAACTCTAATCATCAAATAGCTAACAACAAAAAATTCCCTGAAATAATTCAGAAAACATAACATTACAGTATCAGTACAAAATCGCTAAATGCAAAGAAATCTATGGAAATAAAAATCATACATTACCCATGTAGACCATCAAAGGTTTCATATTAACATGAACTCTACTTTATACTAAAGGATTAGTAAAGTCTGACTAACGAGGGATTTCAAGAAGAAACTTCCCAGCCCTAAAGTCAAGGTCAAATGACAGGCAAAACCTAATAATAAAATATGAAACTGAACAAAGATTGTGTTGTCTGAATTTCACAGTAAATCTTCAGTGATCATAATTCCATTCTGCATTTAGGAAGATGACTCTCAGGAAGAAGTATTTAAAAATCAAATTAGCCTAGTAATACTCCACAGAGCATATCCTATTGACCCCTTGAGTAACGTACTAATCAATACCTTTCTGGTTTTGTTCTAACCTGTGAAAAGTGTAGGTAAATAATACTCTTGGCCCTAGGTGGAAAGAGGTCTGAAAAAAAAAAAAGGAAGAAAAATCAATGTGACTTGGCAACTGGATGCAGAAAAAGTTAGAGAAAGAGTAACAAAAATGTTTCCATGCCAAGAGATAAGAAACAAACCCTAGGGGGTAGCAACAAACCCTGGAAATTACTTGGCAAACAGGCAGTTCTGCCCTTTTCACTCATTTTTGTATTATAAGGGGAGACTGACTTTCCAAGCCCCGTTTCATTCTTCGGGCAGCAAAAATCCAAGCAGGTGGTTAGAAGGAAATTACCTGATGCAAGGAAGAGGAGAGAATTGAGTTGGGCAACCATGTAGAGAGGGTAAGAGGGAGGCTCACCTCCTCCAAGAAAGGCTGCCTTCCAGGGAAAACACTTAGCGTGGGTAGAGGCAGCAAAGACACCTAATCTATGGAGAAAACTGGGAGGTCGGATGAAGCTAAGCACTCCCTCTCCTCTCTCCAAGAATCAACATAAGAGAACACGTCCCATAACTTGATACAGCTGTAAAGTCAGTACAGCTCTTCCCTGTCTTTGACCTACCCTTCCCCTCAAGTCAAACCTACTCACCCTACAAAACAAGCAAGCAGTGAGCTCAGTGTTATTGATCTGTGGGATGTTTCATTCAAGATTTCAAGTTAATCACCACATTGGAGATAAGGAATCTGAGTCATAAGAGTTAAACTCTAACTGTTTAGGGCTTTCTCTTGGAAATAGTGCATTTTGTTCTACTTTGAGATTTTAATCTTAAGGGTTTTTGGTTTGTTTAGTTTGGTTTTTGGTTTTATTTGAAAAGGCAGAGGCAGAGAGAGAGAGAGAGAGAGAGAGAGATCATCCATCAGCTGGTTCACTCCCCAAATGGCAACGATGGCACAGTGGCCAGGACTAAGCCAAACCAAAGCCAGGAGCTTCATCCAGGTCTTCCCCATGGGTTCAGGGGCCCAATTACTTGGGCCATTCTCCGTTGCTTTCCCAGGCCACAGAAGAAAGTTGGATTGGAAGCCAGGGTGGGTCGGACGGAAGTGGAGCATCCATATGGGATTCTGGCATTCCAGGTGGCAGCTTTACCTGCTACACCAGAGCACCAGCCCCATCAAGACACTTCTAAACTGCTCATAGAATTCTACTTCAGTTCTCAAATTCACTCAATGATAAAATCACCTGAACCGCTTGCTAAAGTTTCAGATCTGGATGGTCCTGCAGTTAAGTTTATGTCCAGTTCAGCACCTTGACCTTGCCTGATTCATGATTCTATCAGGAACCCAAATTAACTTACAGTAGGTATGTTTTACACTTACATAGCAGAATCTTACTATATGTGTGTATGAACTTTTCTTTTAATATGCCTGTATATTTTTAATGTTTCTCATAATTATCAACAGAAGCACACAGATGTTACCCTAATTTCACAAATACGATCTGAGGGCCTGTGTAAATCTAATCTTTGTCACATTACATTTAGCATGAAAGTGAAATATTAAGAGAATTGATGTACATCAAATTGTGTCCTATGCTTTTATCATTTTGGCGAATTCAGCTGTTGGAGGGAATAATCTTAAGGGCCATCAGAAATAGAGGTGAGGCTCAAGTAACTGGGTCCTTGCCACCTATGTGGGAGACATGGACTGAGTTCCTGGCTCCCTGATCCAGCCCCAGCTGCTGTGGGCATTTCAGGAATGATCCAATGGATGGAGATTTCTCTCTCTCTCTCTCTGTGTGTGTGTGTGTGTGTGTGTGTCTTTCTACTTCTTAAATAATTTTTTTTAAAAAAAACAATAAAGAAATGAGAGGATGACATAACCAGTAGTTACGAGTCTTTTCTCTTCTAAAAGAACTCTGTATAAGGCATGCCAGGTTTTTAAATACAGTATGGCATAACTAGAAAAAAATTTTATGACTGGAAAAACAATTACAATGAATTAAAATTAGGGTCCAGTGCTGTGGCGTAGTGGGTAAAGCTACCGCCTGCAGTGCCGGCATCCTATATGGGTGCAGGTTCGAGTTCCACTGCTCCACTTCTGATCCAGCTCTCTGCTATGGCCTGGGAAAGCAGGAGAAGATGGCTCAAGTCCTTGGGCCTCTGCACCCCCGTGGGAGACCCGGAGGAAGCTTTAGATTGAGATCAGTGCAGCTCCAGCTGTTGCAGCCATCTGGGCAGTGAACCAACAGATGGAAGACCTCTCTCTCTCTCTCTCCTCTGCCTCTCTGTAACTCTGCCTTTCAAATAAATACATCTTTTTTTTTTTTTAAATGAACATTTTAAAAACTGAGGGGCAGGGGGCTGGCACGGTGGCATGGCGGGTAAGACTGCCACTTGAAGTGCCAGCATCTCATATGGGTGCCGGTTCGAATCCCGGCTGCTCCACTTCCAATCCAGCTCTCTGCTATAGCCTGGGAAAGCAGTGGAGGATGGCCCAGGTCTCTGGACCCCTGCACCTGCATGGAAGATCTGGAAGAAGCTTCTGTCTCCTGGCTTCAAATTGGCACAGCTCCGGCCGTTGCAACCATCTGGGGAGTGAGCCAGTGGATGGTAGACCTCAATCTCTCTCCTCTACCCACCGCTGCCTCTGCCTCTCTGTAACTCTGCCTTTCAAATAAACAAATAAATCTTTAAAAAAAAAAAAAAGAACTGAGGGGCAGACATCTAGCCTAGCAGCTAAGAAGCCCCATGTCTCATATCAGAGTGCCTGGGTTTGATTCCTGGCTGACTCCTGACTGTAGTTTATGCCAATGCTTACTCCAGGAGGAAATAGCTCAACTAGGAGGATACATGCCACCCATATATGAGACCTGGGTTGAGTTTTACGTGCCTGGCTTTTGGTTTTAGCCCAGTCCCAGCCATTAGTGAACTAGTGAGTGGGAGATCTTTCTCTGCATTTCTTTCTCTGTCTCTCAAATAGATGAATTTTAAAAATTAATAAACAATCATTAATCAAGATTAGAGTCTAAAATGTACTAATACACATGGAAATAGATGCTTGATCTCAGCAAAGTACTTTTTTAAAGCCAAATAATAATAATAAAAGTTAAGTCACAAGCAGGCAGAAAAATAAATCAAATGGAAGACTACTGCATGTGGACACTAGTCTGCAGCTGAGTAGTTCTGAGAAAAGAGCAGGTCTGACTTCAGAGACCACAGGAGGAGGCAGCATCTCTAAGCGCTCACAGCAGAACAGCCCCAGCCATGATGCTACTGCGAGATCCACGTGCCTGGATCTGCAAGGGAAGAGCCCTTCCTGCCATCCTGCTCTTGAGCTCCTCCGGTTGATCTCAAATTGCTGACTTCCATGGGAAGACATTTCTCCAGGATCGTACAGCCATGGACGCTCCATCAGGCTCACTGAACATCCCACTGCAAGCTACTGCAGAAGGTGAGCCCCGGCTTGGCCAGCCAGAGCAGCTGTGTGTGTAGAAAGAGCACCAGCTGGATGCATGTGTGGACCGCTGCCAGCTTCTGCCACTGAGCAGCACAGCACAGCCAAGGCTCCGTCTCCTCACACAGAGGGCTTCAGTGTATATATGCATATATGGCATTCTCTAAACCAGAGGTCAAGGCACACCCGTATCTACTCTTGCATTCTGCATGTAATCATCTACACGTGCACACTGCCCACAGCAATGCTGGTTATGCAGACACAGACACACGTAGAACACTGTAATGCATGACAGCTATCCAGAGTTGTGGAGAACTGGAGGCTGACCCTTCAAGGATGTCCTACAAGAGGAGTCCCGGCTGCTCCACTTAAAATCCAGCTCCCTGCTAATGTGCCTGGCAAAACAGCAGAAGATGGCCCAAGTGCCTGGGCTCCTGCACCCACGTGGGAAATCCGGAAGCAGCTCCTGGCTCCTGGCTTTGGCATAGCACAACCCAACCACTGCATCCATTTAGAGAGTGAACCAGCAGACTGAAGATTAATCTCTCTCTCTCTCTTTCTCTCTCTCCCCGCTCTCCCACCTGTAACTCTGTCTTTCGAATAAATAAAATAAATCTTTACCAAAAAAAAAAAAAAAAAAAAAGACACCCCACCATCCAGGGCCTTGAGAGGGCAGAGCTCACTGCTGGCTGAGACTATACAGCCCACTCCCTCTGCCTCACTGCCTATGTGCCTCCCAAAATATCCCTGTGCTGCTTCTAAGACCCACCAGCTTTCTTCTTTTCTTGGGTTTCTCAAGAGTTTTCTTTTTCCCTAGCTTTTCCCATGCATCTCGCTTTCATATGAAAAGAAAAGTGTTTCACAGGTGTCACAGGCCAGTTCAACAGCAATCTCACTTTACTGTGTACAATCTGTGGGTGTTCAACTCCACTCAACTATTTTCCTGACTCACAAAACAGACTTCTTAAGCATTACAAATGTTTTTCGGCATTATTCTATAAGCTTAAGGTGCTAGATAATCTAGCTTATGGTAGCATTTCAACTCCATTTATATCTGTTAATATAGACATGTTGAGTTCTATTCAATATTTTTTTTTAAAGATTTTATTAATTTACTTGAAAGTCAGAGTTACAGAAAGGCAGATACGAGAGAGAGAAGGAGAGGTCTTCCATCCATTGGTGCACTCTCCAGATGGCCGCAGTGGCTGGAGCTGCACCAATCCGAAGCCAGGAGCCAGGAGCCTCCTCCAGGTTTCCCATACAGGTACAGGGGCCCAAGGACTTGGGCCATCTTCCACTGCTTTCCCAAGCCATAGCAGAGAGCTGGATCAGAGTTGGAGCAGCAGGGACTCTAACCAGAGCCCACATGGGATGCCGGCACTGCAGGCGGCATCCTTACCCACCTTGCCACAGCGCTGGCCCCCAATTCAATATTTTAAAAACTCATCATATCAGCTGAAACTGGCCCCCTGCTGTCAAACCAATTTTGTATTCATTTATTATAATTCAAGGAATAACACAGATGCAGACCTAAGAACTTAATAAAATGACTCAAAATTTAGCTGACACTTTACTATTTTATAAATTAACCCCAAATTTAAATCACTGACTGGTACTTACTGTGGCATGATAATTTTTATACATGGGCATTTTCAGTATCTTTGTCAAGTAATCTTCTAGTTGTTTCTGTAATGCAAAGAGGTAATAGTTAATATTGTCATATTTAAGAAAAAATTTAAACAGTGACAATGATGAGATCATTGCTTCATTTTAACTTCTATAAGCTATTCAATTATTTATTCATATCATTACTTGGCAAAAAATGCTAAATGGCATTAAATGTTATTTCATTGCTCTCTTGAGCCACCACTTAAACCTCTCCTTCTTACTTAACTGTCCACAAGCTGAGGTCTCCTATCAGCTCTGACAGGTCCTGAGCTACCCATCTTGGTCCTCCACAGCTGTCAGAGCAGGCTTGCCCCAGTAGGTAGTTTTAAAACATTTGCTGATTTTACCAAAAACCTGCACATTTTTTTCATTGCTAATGCTGAATTTATTGAAAGATAAACTTCAATTTTTAAATAGCTTTTCAAGAAAAAAAGGGTAAGAGTTAATAAAAAGAAAAGAACTTTCTAAAAAGATGTACTCCGATATCAAATATGTCAAAATGTCTGTGGGGTGGTAGATGATATAGGCGTGGGGCAGTGGCGCAACCGCACTGATCATGATACGAAAATTCAGTAGCTTTTCACTACACCACTAAGTGTTAGTAGCTGGAACCATTTTTCAGTTGGACACAGCAGCCCCAAACTACATATGTCTAGGGATCATGGAAAATGTGTAGTCTAGACCCCTAAAACGATTTCAAACAAGATGACAACTACAAAGGAGAAACAAAACATCCACCACAGAACATAAAATTTCAGGTCACAAAACAGAACTGTCAGTCATCTCCTAGTTTAAAAAAATAAAAAGGGTCCTCCACACGCGGCAGCACTCCCAGTGAAGTAGACAGGCACGCAGGTTAAAACTGATTAGGTTTGTGAGCTGGAAGACTATGCCTTCACCACGCCTTCACCACGCCCCTGATGTCATGCCCCTACCTGGCCACACCTGAGCACCCACCGGCCAATCAGGTTAATTAGTCACTCCCCTTTGGAAGTGGATTAAAAGCCTGGGACAGGGTGTGTCCAACCTTTTCCCTTTTCCTTCCTTTCCCTGGCCTCTTGCCAGTAGAGGTCTGGCTGCAGCCCTGTGCCTCCAGGGTGCGTGGCCTTTGGGCCACCTGTTCCATGCCTCCTGGCCTAGATGCTCTTCCATGCGGCTGGTTCCTGGTGCTCTGTATGAACCCAGATCTACCCCTCTGTCTTAGATAAATCCCTCACTCTCCTATGTATCTTTTGTACTAAATAAAAGCTTAAAATGTACCATGCTGCCTTGTTCATTTATGCCAGTATTCAGAATTCTTCTCCGAATATTAGGCAAGAACCCCCATGGGCTTATTAATATGGAGAACTTATTAATAAGTATACGGTGACATCGTATGGCACCCCAAATTCTGATAACATATGTGGCACCCCAGATGGGACTTTAGGGGAACTTTAAGGGACCACTTTTGGTATATATTTTAGGGGGCCAAATTCCAATATCACCTAGAGCGCAGCTGGCAGGAGCGTCCCTCTCCTTAGGTCTCCTGTCCTCAGGCTGTGCAGGCACACATCCCTGCCACTCTTCTCACACTCAGCTCCCCATGTGAAGCTACTAGAAATGCTGAAATCAATGTATGCAAAAGTGTGTGTTACTTTAAAGAACAGACCTCAAATCTCACAAGGAGGAGCTCCGGGTTGGACTCACAACAAGCCCAGGCAGGCTCCAGCAGGGAGCAGAGCTTCTCCCTCAAGTGACAGCTGGCCAACACTCTTTTCTGGGGAAATGCCGCCTCGCTATGGCTTGGGGAGGAAGTGCCTAACTAGTGTCAGGGATGGTGAGCCAGCCTGGGCAGGGGAAGTACAGCCATAGGCCCTCGTCCTCGACCTCTCACAGACGCCGGGCTTCCACGATGCGGCAGAAGCACATCCACAGCCACAGGAGAGGGAGGCGACTTACCCGCCTTCCCAAGAACTGTTCTTCTCTCATCGCGTTTTCAGATGAATGGGGCAGCCTGGGCACATTCCGAGGCTCCTCCCCTTTGACATTCTGTCTTCTAAATGTGTGTCTAAAACCCACAATGAAAGCATTTGTTAGATTAGATTCTTGATTAGGACTTGTAATATCTTTTGCTTACTTCTATAAAAGCCTATTTAATTGAGACAAACAGTGGACTAGCTAACCAATAAAAGGACTGAAATACACTTTACATCCAACTTGCATATGGTATGACTATAATTCATTCTGACAGGGTTACCTTCTGGTGGGAATGGGGATTCGGATGAAGGCTTTGTACTTGACCAACTCTCTGTGGAATTCTTGGAAGTGCTTGAATTTCCTCTTAACCTGCCATTTAAATTCCCCATGTGTCAATTCAATGGTGTAAAGATTGACACCTGGCACCTATAGTGATAGATAAAAATGGTTTGTTATTTTAGAGAACAAAAAAGTGCCCAAAGTGCTCCATGAACAATTAACAAGCAACATGGAAGTGCATGCATATCAGCAATGTTTTTAAATAATGTCTGATTACAGAAATAATAATTAAAAGTTCATCTGACAAATTACTTAAGACAAACTTTGAATCACACCAAAGACAAACTCCTACAAATCTTATCCATTCCACACACATACACATACAGAGAGACAGATACATACATACACACATACATAGATACAGATATAGATATAGATACAGACACACACACACATTGAACTCAGATCCAGGTAAAGGAGACGATGAGTGATGGCCATCATTAGCTGTTGTGGGGAGGCAGTTCACAGGCATAAGCAGTGAACAGGCAATCAGCAGAGGAGAGAGGAAGGTGGAGGTGATGAGTGCAAGCAGCAGTATCTTATCCCTTTTGTACTTCACAGATGCCACAACTGCCTTCTCTCCTCCTCCTTCTGCCATATATTCCAAGGTCTAGCCTTGTCTTTACCGCCCGCTGCCCTGAGGTGTTGAGAAAGGGAAGGTAGAAGAAAACTGCAGCAGTAGTGAACACACAGTGCACACCTGTATAATGTAAGTAGGATACCTTGCCTTGCTATGATTTAATCCTTATACAGACCTATAAAGTAAGGGCTGTTGTGCCCGTTATTTAGATGAGGAAGCTGAGAAAAATGCATGTTAAATAACTTGTTCAGGATTACAAAGCAAAGACAGGAATTAAATCATGCATTGAACCCCTATATGCGGCTGCCTGTCAATGTAAAAGCTGGCAGGCCAAAGAAGGCAAAGGCTGGGCACAGTGGAAGGAGGGAGGGTAGGGCGGAAAGACTCTCTACATTCCTAAATTTGCATATATGAAATGCATGGTTTGTATACTTTAAATAAAATTTTAAAAAAAGACTAAATGGGAAGGTCATAAAAACCAGGGGGATGATAAAAACTTGCAAGTGACAGACAAAGAAGCAGAATCTCAAAAGCACAGTTGTAGCTCAGAGGAAGTACAAGGGGAGTCAAGGCATCAGTGGATCAACATTGACAAGAACAAAAAGGTGAGGCCACCAGTGCCTGACCCTTGTTGTAGAGGTGAAGCGCTCCACTTCCAAAACCTGCGCTTTGATGGGACAGCCAGAGAGGTACGTCTGAATGTTGGGCTCTTTAAATCCTTGAGTGTTATAAATCGCAGAGAAGGGGATGTTCCCTAAAAAATGAAGACACAAACAAAGTGGTTTCAATACGTGCTGGTAGCATCCCTTGCCTTTTATAGGTGACCTTTAAGAATCATAACATTTTTTTTTTTTTTTTTGACAGGCAGAGTGGACAGTGAGAGAGAGAGACAGAGAGAGAAAGGTCTTCCTTTGCCGTTGGTTCACCCTCCAATGGCCGCCGCTGCAGCCGGCGCACCGCGCTGATCCTGGCAGGAGCCAGGAGCCAGGTGCTTTTCCTGGTCTCCCATGGGGTGCAGGGCCCAAGCACCTGGGCCATCCTCCACTGCACTCCCTGGCCACAGCAGAGAGCTGGCCTGGAAGAGGGGCAACCGGGACAGAATCCGGCGCCCCAACCGGGACTAGAACCCGGTGTGCCGGCGCCGCTAGGTGGAGGATTAGCCTATTGAGCCACGGCGCCGGCTGAAATGTTTTTTATAATAGTGTAGCTTGTTTACATTTGCTCTGGAAGCGATATCCCAAGCTAAGTGTATATGACCTTTTTGAGATCTGAGGTTTTATCCATGACTTTACATGATGATATACACATATAATGACATACATGTTTTGAAAGGAAATTAATATACCTGTTTCAAAAGATACCTGAGGCACTGGACTTATACAACTCTCCTTTCTTACTTTTTTTTTTTTACAGAACACTGGTTCTATTTCATTCCGACATTTAATAACACAAGTCGTTGCACATCAGTACCCAGGGAAGAAGAATTCATATAGATGTTATTTTTCATTTAAAGTACTGAGATTTTTAAGCCTTGAGCACTGACATTGGAGCTGGATGAAAAGTCTGAATTGCCTGATAGAGAAATAATCTCACAGTTATAACCAGGCCCTAAAACAGAAGGGCTGAGATACCAATAAGTAAGTCTCCTGCATGTGTTCATTTATTACTGGAAATTACAAACATTAACTGAGCACCAACCACGTGAGAGAGGCAATGAATGAAAACATGAAGATGAACAGGGCTGCCCCTGTGATTAACGATGCCTGACTTGGATGAGCAAAGTAAGTTCCACACTCCAGGTCTACCCTTGGCCTCTTCCAAGGTCCTGGGCTGCTTGAGAGTGGACTGTATCGAGGGGAAGACACTCAGCTGAGCTCTTGCCTTCAGGTGCTATCATGACACTGGGGTGGCTAGGTGGGAAATGCTAAAACACAGCCTCAGGCAAGTTTGGGCAGCAAAGTATCTAAAAATAAGAGAGTTGCAGCAGGTAGAGAGTGACCTTGTTTCAAAATCAAAGACAAAGGTTAGGGGCAGCACTGTGCTATAGCAGGTAAAGCCACTGTGTGCAGTGCCAGCATCCCATGTGGGTGCCGGTTCAAGTCCTGGCTGTTCCACTTCCGATCCAGCTCTCCGCTATGGCCTGGGAAAGCGTTGGAAGATGGCCCAGGTCCTTGGGCCCCTACAACCACATGGGAGACACAGCAGGAGCTCCTGGCTCCTGGCTTCAGATCAGCACAGCTTCAGCTATTGTGGCCATTTGGGGAGTGAACCGAATGATGGAAGACCTCTCTCTGCCTTTGCCTCTCTATAACTCTGACTTTCAAATAAATAAATAAATCTTTAAAAAAAAAAAGAGTAGTGGGGTAAAGGAAGGCAATTTTTGTTTCTCCACATATATATAATTAATGCATTCAACTTCCCTATGAATTATTTAATCAATCATGTTTCCTTCTCCATGTTGGCTAGAAGAAAGCTTGAAGCTAAATTGTGCTCTACTAGTAGCAAAATACAGGACTATCTTCACCTGTATATGTTACTGTACTAGCTAAAGGACATTGACTGCTTAATAATAAAGTTATGAGAATGTATTATTCTATTCTGAATATGAGTTTATCAATTGCTTCTTTATACATAAGAAAACTGGGACACCCAAAAGCCTACATGCTCTACCACAGTCTTTATCTCGCAGTCATTTTCTGCAGATAAGCAGATGCTCTGGAATAGAGCTAACTCTAACAGGAAGAACTCAGATGAATTCCTCTGCAGCTCAGTCTCCACTAAATGAAGTCATTTAAACTCTCAGAGTCTTGGTTTCTTCGTCTATTAATTAAAGAGATTGAGTTATTTCATGCCAAGGTCCCTAATATGAAGACCCTGACTGTAGTTAAAAGTTACCATAAAATTGTTCAGCCTCCTCTTATAATTTAATTACTTTAATTTTTCTCCTATCGCAAGAAATTAATCCAAGTCATATTTTGTTTGTTGGTTTATGTATCGAGACAGAAAGACAGATAAAGAGGGAGGGAAGGAAGGAGGGAGAGAGAAAGATCCCATCTGCTGGTTCACTCCACAAATGCTCACAGCCAAGAGCCAGGAACTCAATCCAGGCCTTCCAGACAGGTTGCAGAAACTCAACCACTTCAGTTATCACCACTGCCTCCCAGGGTCTGCATTAACAGGAAGCTAGAATTACAGGCCCATCTGGAAACTAAACCCAGGCCCTCTGATATGGGAAGACATGGGATAAAGGTGTCTTAACTGGTGTTTTAACTGCTAGGCTAAACACCTGCCCTAATAGAAATAGTTTTTGTATTTGAATAAGAGAAGCAAGTGACAGAATGTTATAATCTGGATAATTTAATTGGGGTCTATTCAGCCTCCATTGAAGAGTAGTTGCCTGGAGCGACAATTAAAATATTTATTTCCATTCCTCCTAACTCAAGAAACATTTATATTCCAAACATGAGCCAAGTTTTGCTTTATTTAAAATACAAGGCAATGAAAATTTTAGCAGAAATGACATAAGGAACAAGAAATTACATCATATCATCTCTTCTTGTTAATTTTAAGAGACCTGGGTTTTTTAATTGATTAAATAGCTTACGGATAACATTGCCAACCTCCTCAGCAGAGCAAAGAAAAACATAGGTTATATCTAAAGCCCTTAGTGCTTATGTTAAAAAAAAAAAAACTATGTTAATTTCAACATACACACAGACTAATCAACACTTTGTAAGGTAATCTGGATAAGAATTACTGAATCCCTGAATCAAGCAAAATAATTACATCAGATAGAAAAGAAACATACTAATCTGTGAAAAACTTAAGGATGAGTGAGAATAGAAATTAAAGAACCCTTATCAAGTGTTTATTATGTGCCAAGCATAATTTTAGCAAAATTATGTTACTTAATACTCCCAACAGACACTACCTGGTAGGTATAATTACTCTGAGAGATTTAGTTAAGCAACATGTCCAAGGTCACTTGACTTGGGCCATTGTTGAGCTTATTAAGTAGATTAGTCTGAATCTAAGTTACCATGGACTGGGTTAACGAGGTTCATAATTACTGACTTCGTTTTATATGCTTGAATGTCTATAAATGGTAACTCAGTATTTAATAGTTTTGTATATTTATATATATAAATCATATATTAATTTTATATATTTGTCTATAAATGTGATCAATATTTTATTTACATTTACACATATAAAACGTTTAAGGTCTGTGACAACAAGAGGTGACCTCCACCTTAAACCCCACTCTTTGCAAGGGATCCTAGCAATCCACAGTCATCACAATTCTGGAAACAACAAATCCTCACAGCTTCCTGAATTTCTGCTTTGCCTGTTATTTTTATGGTTTGCAGCATCTTCTAAGATTACATGGAACTTCAGTGGACCCAACGGATTTGTGTATTTGTTCACGCTTTTGTGAGAAGTTCACCCCCAAATGATGGACGCTGAATCAAGTCAGTTTTCCATCAGTACCTTCACTGTGGGGAGCAACTGGGAGCAACTCGGACTAGACTAAGTTACTGGAATTAAGACTTATTCTATGCATCTGCTCTCCCACAATATGGCGCTGAGAAGGGAGAAACAGCTTCTACACAGCTGCCTCCAGTTCAACCAATAAACAGCAGGACTTGCTCCTGATTGGAGGAGAGCAGCATACTCGGCGTGTGGGTAGCAGAGTTGGGATTGGTGGAAGAGGACTATAAAGGAGGAGAGAGACAACATGCACCAAGAACATCTATCTGAAGGAACACCTGTGCAGCCCCCGAGAGAGCCGGCCGGCGGTGTGCCGCTCCCCTGCGGAAGTGGGGAAAGTGGCCAGGGGGAACCGCCCTTCCACGGAGGTGGAAGGGACAGTAGCCAACCCGGGAAGAACCAGCAGCAAACCCCGGGAGGGCCGAGCAGACAAAAGAACAGCGCAGGGTCCTGTGTCGTTCCTCCACAAAGACGGGGAGCGACACTTCACCCGTCTCCTTCCCACTGCTCTGTGTTGACTTCTGATCAACAACTGTATTGCTGGAGTTGCTTTTGCCCATCAAGCTCACAGGCCATCCATGCGCCTATGCTGCCAAATCTTCATTGATTAGTCAAACTGGTTTTTTCCATCTGATATAATCTACAATGGGGGGCGAGCAGCTGCCACAGTTACAGCTTATCTTAACCAGCAAAGGGATAAGGCCTTCAACATTTACATTTGAAATAATGCCATTGATTTTATTACCACATTATAAAATTATACTGTAAGATCATTATCTCTTTCCGTACCAAGGAGAGATGGTACCCAGGAAGCTTAGGAGCAGCTGTGTTTTCCTTCTATTTGCATCTCTATCCAGGAAGAAAATAAGGGTTTCCCCGTCCTTGCTTTGATACTAGAATTAAGTATCTTTGCTGGAAATATCTAGTGACAACCAGCTATTCAGTGATGAAACAGAAATCTGAAGCACTTGATCTCAATTTTCATCAAGACTGGGAAGGAGAACATAAAAAAGGAGACACCTTCTTTCTCAGATAATATATACATAAACATTCCCTTAGCCAAAATACACCAAAAGTATCAATTATAATTATTGATATTAATATAAATATTAACATTAGATAACTGTTGAATATGTGCCACACACCAGACGCTGTACAAAGAGATAAAAGCTAATGAGTTGCAGGGGTCACATGGTTGAGAAGTGATGGAGCTGCACCTGACCTTGGTTAATCTGACTCCAAAGTCCAGCTACATAACACACCAGTGGTGGAAGCAGGGGTGGGGGCAGCGGGTGTCACCAAGAGACTTTTACTCCTCACTTTACATCTGCCTCAG